CTGTGCTAAACATAATCTTGCGGTAAATGACCACTGAACTGGTCTGTGCACAGGTGACTTTTTCTGAAGGGTTTAAGGACACAAGTTTGGGCGGGATGGTCTGAAGAAATTCTTTTAGAAGTTCATTTGAATACTTTAGTCACACGATTTTGACTGCGAAAGAAAAGAATGAAATTTGATAAAGAAATGGCAAGAAAATAAGCTATTTTTTATGGCTGCCCCCACTCCTTTCAAGGCAGCTCGTGGGCCGATTTAAATAACAAAAGCTGAGAGTAAAGCAAAGAAATACTTTCTTACTTGATTGTCGTCCTCTGAAGAGTATGTCGTTGAGCGCAAATTCATTCACCGGCGCTGGGGTCACAGGCTTTTGAGGTGAATTTTTACTCGTTGTCTTAATCGTTTGTGGCTCGGGCCTGGTTTGCCTTGACACAGTGTTTGGCAGTCTTTCCTCCGATTCAGTAGTCGGACTTTTTCCAGTATCTGTCCGTGGAGGACTTATTTCGGCGCATTGAACGAGACAGTTCAAAGCAAGTATAAATGCAATACACCACAACATTTGGCTAGAAGTTGACATAGAGAAATAGTGTATCAGAGAAAGTGAAGAGATTCAAATTATCATGAATATCTTTAGACCACCAGGCTTGTCTCCTGTTTGTTGAACATTAAGTGGGTCTAAATCTTCCCTGAAATTATGTTAGTGGGCCGGTAATTGAGAGAATCCACGTAAGGTTTCTATGTATCAAATAACTCAATAATATACCAAGACAAATTCACAATAAACGGTCTTACTTACTCTCAGTTGTTGATTTCCGTTTTATCATTTCCATTTAACTCTGAACTTAGAGTCACTAACAGATAACAATAGTGGCTACCGCAAAAAAAGAGAAAACTTACTTTATGGTTGAGATAGATTCTTTTGCGTCCCTGAAGTACTTAGTAACGGTGAACCATGCTGGCTTCAATTAATCAACACAAAATCTATGGTGGGATGATGGGCAGCAGCTGTGAGGACTATTTGGCTTTCTTGGCGCCGCTGTGATAGGACACACTGGTTTGATGCAGCAGATAGTAAATGGCCGCCGATTGAACAAATGCTAACACTTCTAAAGCCTATGATTCATAGAAGTGCTAAGAAGGCAGAGATTGATTGTTGCGATGGATACCTGAAACGAAAAGGTATTTTTGCCGCGACAAGTCGACCGTAAAAAGGACAAAAAAGTTATTAATTCTCACAAGAATAGAAATAATTGCACAACTTTTTGCTAAACTGCTACGAGTGTGATAAAAATTCAAGTTTTCATCACACAATGCGTCAAATAAAGTTGATAAAACTTGTCCTGTTTTCATACAATACATGTGATATTTTCGACCGTTGTCCGCAAGATCTGAACCACCTTACGAAGAACGACAAAGAGCTTCATTAGGCCGAGAGGAGTATTTTGCAATTAATTAGACGCTTGTTCGTTTGAATGTAGGAGACTAAGTTTTCCTGCGATTCCATTTGGATACTTTATCAACAATATTATAATAAAAGGCTTTTCAATAAAGGAAAGTCAATGTAAACAAACCGAATGGCGGATTCAATTTGTCATGCCGGCTACTTAAACTTGCATATATTGAAATGAATAAGAGTTTCAGAATGTTCTCCTATTAAAAAGAGTCTTCAACTCCATGACTCTCAGGGCAAGTGCTCGCAGCTGACTACATATCCTCGTTATTTCAACTATGTTTTGCTGTGATTTGCGACCATATCTTACTTTCATTCTATCACTGTAAAATCAAGCAGCAAAACATGGTGTGGCTGAATAGTTGCGAAATAACTCAGAAGCTGATTGAAAACATCACGAGGCAGAAATAATATATTTCTCGACCAGTCAGCAAAAACTTAAGCGACCACTTCTGGCTCAAAAAAATTTCTGATGCCGCTCGTTTCCTCATTGCCTACGAAAGTGTTCAATGTTTGTGTCTGAGATGTTTTAAGGCTAACTGAGTATGATTAAATCCTTCAGCTCGAATTTATCTTTTATAGACTTACCTGTAAAGACGCCCCTTCGTTTTCTTCTCGTAGTGCAGAGTTTTTAGCTCTTTAATTCATTAGGAAATCTCCACTGCTACTCGAGTATGTTTCTCTCAACCGTAACACGCAAGCACAGGGATAAAAGTTGACAAATAATGAGGTCAATTTATGCATGTATGGTGATGTTCACGTGCTTCTAACGAGCCCTTTTTCTTGAAAAGTAAATATTTGTCTTAATAGGTAAACAGCTACAGTGCCAAATTGCGGACTTTTGTTCCCTACCCCTAGCAACCTACGAGAGAGGAAGGAATTATCCCTTAAATTGCTTTCAAATTGATTTTTTTGTGCATTCACTGAAGCAGTTCGTTTGGAATTCTTATATAGTAATTAATAAAAAGGCATCAACTCGGTCTCTTTTTTTCAGGGAAACGTAAAAAACACAAATGATTTTAAATTTGGAATGCCATGAACTGGAAATTTAACAATAGGAACCCATAAGTAATGAAAATGGCGCGCAAAGCAAGCGCTATAATAAAAGAGGTTTGAAAGGGATTTTTTAGAACACATGCCGTATTTGCTCGAATAAGCGCTCGAGCACTTATTCAAACTTTCGGCTTAAAGGAGGAGCGAGCTTAATCCTGGGGGGGGGGGGGGACTTCTTAAGTTAGCGCATCAATAGGACAACAAATACACCTATGAAAGGACAGATAACACACATTAAGGAATTCCAGAAGCACCTGCTCGTGCACTGATTCTGCTGCAGTTAAAGCTGAAAAAGTTGTCAATAAATTGACAACATGAACAGTTTTTCCTTGTATCGCGAACTATTTTAGAAAGTGAAAGAGGAGGAGTGGGCCCTTTCGAGAGGGGCCCGTCAGGTTTGACATTAGAGAACTTAGAGTGATTTAGCAAGAGGACGGGAACTTTGTAAAATCATGACGACAACGAGTAGTGCTTAAATCTAGTGGCACGAAACGAAATGACAGCGCGACAAATCGCAGAAAAAAATATTTAATGGGCTCTAGAATATGATAGATGAATCAACAGACACGAAACTTTACTGGAATGAAATAATTTAAAGTTTGATCGCCCGTGCGGATTCATACAAGCAACTTACTTGCCATATCTATAATTATTAAATGTACTTGCGGTTTTTTTTCTTACGCACTCTCTAATTGACAGGTGTCAGATTGTGACATGCAGATACTTGTAAAAATAATGCTTAAAAGTTTGTCGGAAGCCTTTTGAATCACCTTTATCATTACTCAAATGAAAGTGTTTCGGTGAATCCTCTCTCTTTAATTTATACGTTACCTCTATTTAAAATACTCAAAAATTGTTCAGTTTATGGAAGATCTTGCCGTAATTACAGCCCTAAATTAATCGGGTTCTTTTGGAAAGAATTTTGTTGAGTTTAAGGAAAAAAATAAATATGTTATTCACCAGCCTTAGTCGGTCCGTATTGACATAAATATATCCTCTATTTGCACTTTTTACATAAATCTCAGAGGAGATAATCTCGTTGTCTTTAGAGTGGTCTTTGAAACCGAAAATTAAAAGGTGATGGTGATCCTTAAAGAACCGAGGTTAGGATATTCAAGGACAAATATAACGCTGACGTTGCAACCTTCAGCTGCTAAGTCACTTCTGAAACACAATGGGGCGACGTTCGCAACACAGTTTCTTACCGTTAATTTTTGGTGCGTCCACCGTTGTCAACTGACGTTCTCGTCCTCTTGCTAAATCACCATAATTATTATGGACAAGGGATGGGCGCTTATTCCGGGAAGGGCGCTCACAAAAGGCGGGGGAGGGCGCTTATCACAGCGTTGGCGCTCACTCGCGGAAATAGGGTATTTAGCCATGTTTGGTTTTATTATAAATAACACAACTCAGGGAAAAAAATGGTTAGATATTCATCTTTTGCATGTTTATGTTTTGCAAGAGCCTTTAAAAATCTTTTAGACACAGTTTCTGACATAATCGATTTAATTTAATCCATGCAGATCAAAGGCTGTTGGTGTAACTCCTGCTGAAGCTCTTCACGTCGTTCAAGTTTAATTTTCAGTTTCAATTTTTTAATCATGCAGATATTTCCATCACATTAATAGAATAAGAGTTGCATGGTTCGAGTAACTCCTTTGCGATAATTTAAACTAATGAAGTTCAGCTTGGCTGTAACAATTGCAATGTGTGTTGGAGACTAAATTACTTGATAAGCTAATTTTTCAGTTAAGTTTATTATTTTAGAGAAAAAACGTGAAAACATAGAAATGAAGCTGTCTTTAAGAATATTTATAATTTTTCTAAGCTACATGTTACCAAGCTATCTTAAACTGTTTTTTCTTGCTCAGTTGAAAGTCTAGTTTTAATAAATTTCTGAGCAATGCTCTGATTGTAGCTTTGTAGTGATGTTTAATTTAGTCGTTTTCATGCATGAAGCGTTCGCATAGAGTTCAGTTTCACAGAGTCCATGCGAGGAATTAAGCTTGTGGAGTGAATAACCTCAAATACTCAGTGCTTCGAGTCTTACACCCTTCAGCCCTTGTCATGTGACTGAACGTCACATCGTAAGGTCAAAGCGTGGGAAAAGCGAACAAATAAAACTAATATAACTTATATGAAGAAAATGACAAGCTTATATTGCTTCGTTTTGCAATATTTCGCGCAGAGTAATTGTTGCGCGGAATTTCAAGCTAAACGAAAGTGAAATGAAAAGAAGAGACGTTTGATTCGAGATTGTTTCATGTTCGGTGGAATTTCAGTCAGCGGTTGCGTGACTATTTTCGTCCATTATCACTGTGCCAAATACTTTTTGCTAACGAATATCCACAAAATGCCGCACCAAAACGCATCCAAAGCTTCAAAATAAGATGTCATGCCCTAGGAAAAACAAAGATGGTGACATTTATTCGTCCCACTGGCAACGAGTGACGATGATACTCAGGTAGGCGAGGTTCATTTCCGGCTATGCGCAGGCTCAGGTTGATGTCGCTTAACCGGTCGTTCGATCGAAGACTCAGCGCCTATGCAGGGCTAAATTTGCGTTATGTCGCCAAGGGTTTTAACAGATGTAAAAGTTGTCGATATCCAGAAACGAAAGGTCCCGAGCAAACATTATGTAAGTTAACAGTGATATATTTATGATTGCATCTAACTGTGGGTCGTTTATCAGCTAGTAACTCGTGATCTGATATAAGACCACCGATATACAAACTATTATCCTCAATATTCACGCAGTCAACTCATAAAATACAACACTAATTCTGTTGTTGTGCAAATGACAAGTGAATCCGCTACTAACTTTCAAACAGAAGCTGAGTGAGTTAGTCAAAGGAATGATCGGACAAACACGATATTGTATTGTTTTGATATCTGTAAAGTCGCTCTCCAGTATCATGGGATTTCCTATTGATTGAATCAACTTACTGGTGTTGTGTGCTTAAAGTGTAAAGATAATTCTCAGTTTCGAAAACTCAGCTGGGTACATATGCTTCTGATTTACAGCTGTTGTAACAAAAATGGGGCTGTTTGCCATAGAAATGACCACTACATTCCCTTGTGAAGTTTATTGAACACGCTTGTTCCCTCTCATGGTTGAGTCTTTTTCATGTGGTATCAACAATGACAAAGGAGGGTGGAGAGGGGGGAAATGTTTCATTAATTATGACATTATAGCTAGCCAAGTGCATTGTTTGAAACATTAAAAATCTCAATAACCTGTGTCCTGTCCAAGACTATGGTGTAATTACCAATTCACGGCTTGAGACTGGGCTTGTTGTCCTATATCATTCTGCAGTGCTAATAGCAGTTACTCTTGACTAGTAATCTCTATTGATGTGGATCCTTCAGAAACTTGTAACCAGGAGATAGCATTGGTCACTGATGAAAGTGTCTGTTTAACCATTCTACATTGAAAAAAAAATACAGTATTTAAAAAATTCTGTCTCATGATAAGCATACCTTTTTACAGGTTTATGTGATAAATGTCACTTGGTCAGATGGTAGTGTTAATGTTGTCTACAGGAGATATAGCAAATTCTTTGACCTTCAGGTATGTTAATTTTCTATTATATGAAGACAGAAATGTAAATGCCTCTTGACTTGAATTTAATAATTCTTCCTGTGAATATTTTTTTCTTGTCTTTGGTAAGCTCATTCTTTTCCACAGACCCTTCTTTTTGGCTAAATATTCCTCTTTTAAAAATGAAAATAATATTGTGAGTGAATGCACACAGTAGTTTTAAGTCTAGAATTTTATTTAGTTCTCTCCTCCACCTAGTCAATAATTATGGTAATTTTATAGGGTAAATAATGGAAACCATTCCCAACATGCTTCAATTTCTGAGAGGCTACATTGCAGTTTGTTTCCCCATAACTTACAGTGTACCTTGTTTTTGTTATTGTTGTAGATCCATGTTTAATACTCCTGCAACATTAACCCTTCTTGTTCCTTTTGATTTAATCATCTTCCTTTAGTGATTGTTTTCTTTCTGTAAACTACTATGTTAGGTCTCCTTATATAAAGCTGCTGATAGATGCAATATTGGTCAGCCTTGCTTTATCACATAATGGTAACAATGCTTTCAAAATCCTTTGCCCTTGAATTCTCCCAGTTATGTTATCCTAATTTGAAATATTTGGATAATAAATTTTTTAGTTGCTATTGCTTAACAGACTAAACTTTTGGAGGAGTTTCCTCATGAAAGTGGTGTAAAAGATCCTTCGAAGAGGATTTTGCCATTTTTGCCAGGTTTGCTACAGCATTCATGTAGTTTGGATGATGCCAGTAAAGAAGTTATCACCATATTTTAATCTGTCATTTTGTTGTTGATGTTGAGGAATTGGTCAATAGTCTCCATGCTTTTATGTGGTTCTTATAGCAAACAGGAAGTTATGAGAATATGGGAAAAGTGTATCAGTTACAGGATGTTTAATTGAAAGACACTGGTAAATTTCAAATGCTCTCCAAACTACTAAAATGCACCTGCACTATTGGAAATAAGATTTGAAACAATGTGTGCCAATCAGAGTTTTTGGTGGTTTGGAATGACAGTGTGCAAAACCTATGAATAATTTTCATATACATATTATTATTATAATGATGTATATCATTATATATTATAACAATTATACATGTTATTATATATTATAATGATTATACATGTATATATTTGTAAGAAGGGAGTTTCCCTAAGCTCTTGTATTTGTATGAACTTCGGGTTAATTATGGACTATCCAAATGTGTGTGATGAATTGTGTGATTTGTATGCAGGTAAAATTATATTTGGAAGAAGTCATGTGCGAGATGTAGCATTACGTAGAAAGGAACCCATTGGTGAATATTGTAAGGTGGGACAAATTTCAGGAGTGATCTGAGTTCTCTTTAGAAACCTTCTGTTTTAACCTATGAATTCCCAGCCTCCTGTTTTCACTATTATTCTCTTACTTATTGTTAAATACCTCTGGCAAAGGTATACAATGTTTAGTTTGTGTCACCATGCAGTCTTTTTTATCTGTACATGTACTTTGTCAACCTTGTGCAGTATGTGGGCCTTTTTTTCCTTGGAACACTTGGCATGAAGCTTGTCATTAATTGATTATTATAATGTTAACATATTTCAGGAGCTAATCTCGCTACCACCCAAGATATCCACTAGTGGCACTGTATTGAAGTTCTTTGAGCCACAACCAGAGGACATAGACCTTCCATCTAAGGAGTAAGTTTGTTTTATGTTGGTTACTTAAGTCCAGTAATTTCATTGCCATTTGTTTTTTAAATATATTTTAGATGAAAAAGGAAGAAATTTCCTAATATAGTATTTATTTTCAATGGACAGCTTTTTAGTCAAAGAAAATTGCAGGAAGATTATAATGAAATTTGAAAATTTTATATTGACCAGTAATGAGATTAGACTTAACACATATACTAAGTTTAAGAAGGGGAATGGGTAGATGGTTTTTCAAGCAAAATTTATCAAGAGATTTGGAGATTGAAACCAATAATCCCCTGTCAAATAGGTATGGATACTTTTTGAAAAAGTGGTAAAAGCTATTTCATTTAAAGTAATTTTAAACTATTTCCTCTTATAGGAAAGACAAGAAAAGAAAGGAAAAGGATTCAGGTACTTTTCTAGTTCAAGCATTTTTGTTTGAATGCAAACTTGGTTATGAGAGTGCAAGTTTTCATTTTTCTTGATGACATTAAGACTAGTAATTGTATGAGGACTGAGTGGAGTAAAATTCAGGGAGTAATTGGGTGAGTTATTTTAAATTGGCCGAGAACATAGTGTGAGGTCATTTGGAAATTACTTGCAAAATTACCCCTGAATTGTATGATATAAAGTGCAATTACCAATTAATTCTATCAATAACAAAAATGCAAGAAACTCTGCATTGAAAATTGTCATATACAACCCAGCTTTTATCTGGAAAGAAATCTTGCACACCAGACATGAGATCTGAGTGGTACTTATAAATACACCACAGACTTACTCAGTGTAAGATCCTCTTAAAAGCAGAGGTCATGATTAAAATTGTTTGTTTTCTTTTCATAAACAGCTGACCACATAAGTGGGCCAGTTATGTTGGAACAGTATGTGGCCATTGCAGATTACAAAAAGCAGAATAGAAATGAAGTTAACATGGTTGCGGGAGATATTGTGGAAGTTATTGACAAGAATGAAAATGGTATGGAACTATAGTAACCCTTAAATTGCAGTGTAAAGGGGAGATGTGATTTGAGGCTGTACACACGAAATCTTTACACATGGAATCTTCAAACAACTCTCCATTCCAACTTTATCTTATTTGAAATTATTTCTTGGAAAAATTATGATGAGTCATTGTGATATCTGTTTTTTTGTGCTTGACTGACAGTTGACCTTTATCATTAGTTTTTCAAAGCTGGTGCTTTTTTTAGTTGTTTTACGGTCTGAGATAGCTGTTCCAAATGAGGTAGAGTAAATATCTGCTTGTCAAGTGACCAATAGCTACATAACATTTCTACAATGCTTGTCATAAAATAATAGTGATACTTGTCTAAACCTGTTGAAAACACCTCTTGGTTAACAATTTTGTGCTAGAAGAGGAATGAATATTAGCTAACAATCCTAATCCTAGGGTAGGAGTATTGTTTGTCATGTTTTAAATCTAGGAAATATTAATTTTACCATTACTCTCACTCTCTGGTTATTGTGGAGAACAGCTCTCTGAAAAGACCTGTCCACCAACTTTCAGCCAACTGTTGGCTGACAGATAACTAAGGGGCCACTGACAGGTTACTTGTTGGCCAGTACAAAAATTTCAATTGTATATTTCTAACAATATACCCACTCTTGTGACCTAATCATTCTTTGATAAGCTGGGTAATAGCTGCCAGGTGATATTCCCTAATTTAAAATTCCAGTAAGATGATATTCTTTGTTTAAATTTTACTCTAAGAAATTAGATGCTTTTGCTGTTGTTTAGGGAGATATGTTTTTGGTTTGTAATGGCGAATTTTGGAAAGTCAAAAAGCAATTTGCAGGGGTCCCAAAATTCATCTTGATCAAAGCTCAATTGAAAGTACCACCCAACAATTATCTAGGTAACTGCTTGATAGAGGTTTGATTGCATTATAATAACCATGCAGACGATTGTGGCAAGATAAAGTTTAAGCTTCAACCAATTAAATGGCACACTTCTCTCTTCTCTTTATAACTTTCATTTCTCTCTTGTCTGTGTAACCTTCTGTACAGTCAAGCTGTCAAAATTAACATTAAGGGGTTTTTCAGCAGGCTATACATTGCTATGGTAGCTTTAAACTTGGGAAGTTGATCATTGCTTTTAACTCATAACAAGTGGTCCATAAATTGCCTTAAACCAAAGTAAAAGCAGCTATAAAGGTCTATTTTTTTTTCAAAGCTGGAATACTTTTGGCTTTTGTGAGATTTACCTCAATTTAATGTGATTATTTATCAGGTTGGTGGTTTGTTAATGTAGATGAAGAGCAGGGTTGGGTTCCAGCAGCTTATCTTGAGCGTGAGGATGGCAGCTTAGATGAGTCTGCCAGTCAATTAGTGACTGAATCAGGAGGTAAGTTACCTTGTTGTACCAAGCAAGTGATCAACCTCGATTCTAATGGTGTATAATGGTATTTTATAAACACCAGCCACTTTCGGCTGGAAATTATGCTCGGATATTTGTCCGCCAAGACTATCTACCTGTCAGTGAGAATTTCTGTGAGTGAAGCTCAAAGAAACAGGTACATGTAATGTAAATTTACGAACATATTTTCGAGCCGTATGGAGACTTACGTGTTTATTATTCTTCAAATTGTTTTGGAACGGATAGAGAAAACTGGATACCACTAACAACAGATGTTGACATCTCAGAGCGACTTAAATAACAACGTAAAGTTCGAAAATTGGGGTGCAACATGTGAGGATTATCACTGGATTTTACCAGTTTAAGTTGAGGCATTTAGGGCTACGGGACGCACCCAAGACAATCACGCTCGAACAAAACTCTTTGATGGAACATTAGATATATGTCTGCAGGTCTGAACGTCTTTCTTTCAACAATAACAAACACCTCCTCAATAATAACAACAGCTTTCATAGCCTTTACTGTGTCATCTTTAGCAACAACCACAATCACAGTACCAGATACCCTCAATATCAGTTATGATCTCCGTGCCCATCGTACCCATGAGACTTGTTCGATCCTATTTGAGTCTTCCCTTCTTCGCTACTTATCTTTATTTTTTTTTTAAGAGAGAATGATTACAACAACAACCTACAAAGCAGAACTCGATGATGAAATTTCATTTGAGGTTGGCGTTTTAGTGACCGTGATAGAGAAGAATTTTGATGGATGGTGGCTTATTCGGTGAGTACTCTCCATGAGTACTCTCCATAATATTTACATCAATTGAATTGTCGTCAAAGCCTGAAATGGATCAAGCAATATACGTTGTAACTGTTAGTTATTAAACGGTACAGAGGAAAATTGAAGAAAGGTGTGCTCTGTTTGTAGGAGTGATAATATGTGAATGGTCAAGGCACAATTTTCATAACGCCCTCTTATGCTTTTTCTTAACACTCTTTAAGGTATCAGAATCGCGAGGGTTGGGCGCCAGCCATGTACCTCAAGAAAGCTGATCCCTCTCAGCTTGAAGCCATACGACATGGTTCAGAGTCTTTAGCGAGAGAGAAAACGGCAAGCGTGGCGAGTGGTGTACAGAGTGCTTCTAGACTTCATGGTATGGATTGCTTTTCAACTTCAACAACCGTCCTGTTAAAAGAAAAATGAATATCATTATATGTGAACTGCAGTTTAAGAAATGAATATGACAGCGATCTTTGCAGTAATAAACACTACTTAAGCAGTAGTGAAAGTAAGGCCTGAAAAAAATTCAGGCCTTTGTGGGTTTATGGTTGGCTCAGGCCTTATTGTCACTACTGCTTCAGTTGTGTTAATTTCTGCGAAGATCGCTTTCAACTTCATTTCTTAAACCGAAGTTCACAAATATGATTTTAGTATATTCACAGTCACTAAATCATAACTTCACGGGTTTATTTGGTAAGAATTAATATAATGACCAGCTCCCAGATGCCAGGCTTGTTATTTCAATTGGCAGAGCATTGCACCGGTATCGCAGAGGTCATGGGTTCAAATCCTGTGCAGGCTTGAATTTTTTTCATTCATCCTTTTCAAGTGTTGGAATTTTCCAATTCGTTCTTTGACGTGCATCGTTACCAAGCTTCATTTCGCGTGTTTGCTTTTTTGTAATTTTGCATCCTCTAAACAGGCTCCAACAAAACTGGAACGAAAGGTCGGAAAGTGCCTCCAAGGAAGGCTTCGGTAAGTCTTTAGCATAAAGACTCTTTTAATAATATTAGAGAACACAATCTATTGTAGACTTTAGTGTGCGGCGAAACGAAATTTCCATGTCTATCTCTGTTTTCTCATTGAGTTCGAATAATTTACAAGAAGAATTTCTGGGAGTAAATTTGTTACAGATAAATTTCTTTTTTTTTTGAAGAGTTGACTTAGCCTGACCGATAAAACTCCTTCGATTTAGTCTCTGAGTGTCCGAAGGCCGAAGTCTTAAAGCCAGTCCTTCATCTTTTTTCACGTTCCAAAAAAAGTTGTTCAGTTTCGATTCACTGGGTTCTTTTCATTCCTTGCAAGACTTGCATCTTATGTAGGTGACTCGGTCACCTTCGTTTCCAGGGCCTTTCTCCTGTTACGTGCGTTTTCTTGGCCGTCATGATTGTTCACACGCTATTAGGACACTCTTATCTGGGAGTAATTATACTGAGATAAGTAAACTAACACACATACATTGTGCTTGATCTCCAGGTCAAAAGGTCCAAAAAGTTGCCAGTTCACATCACAAACATGTCGTACGAGAAAACTATGGCTATACGCGATTCACCTACTCCAAAGTCTCCTGAAGTAGAATATTTTACCGTTGGCGACTTTCGTTCATTGGGTGTAGAGGGAGCGTTAAACTTTACAGAAGGAATGTCTGTGGAAGTTGTCGAGAAAGCTCCAAATGGATGGTGGCTAGGAAAAATCGGTGGAGTAGAGGGTTGGATACCATCCTCATACCTGGGTAAAAGATTGCTGGAGAAACAACAAGCCAATAGAGCAGAATCTTCAAATGCCTCAATAAACATTCCTAAACCCTCCCCTCGTATTCCAGAAAAAATTCCAGAGGGTAACGCTACATTTTTCACGTTAGCAGATTATAATGACACTTTTGAAGGTGGCATTTCCTTCAAAGAAGGGCAAACAGCGCAGTTAATCGAACAAAATCCGGATGGATGGTCATATGTTAGAATCCAAGGCAAAGAGGGCTGGGCGCCAACAAGCTATCTTGTTTCAAGCACGGAAAAAAAGTCTGCAGCTCCTCCTCGACCAGTCGCCCCTGTAAGCGCAAAGCCGATTGCAAAACAAATGCCGAACATCGCGTCATCTCAGTCTGGAAAAGGTGTAAGTTATGCTCAGTCGCAGCAAAGGAAGCCGTTACCAGTTCCTGCAAAGAATACCACCAAAATGGCTGTCTCTTCACTGAATTCAGTTCCTAAGAAACCTGATCTTCCGGCCAAACCTCAAGTAAAACCACGTTCGAAGATCTGGCCTCCAGAAGTGTCAGTGAAATCATCGATTACGAAACCAACTCGTGTTCCTGTGAAACAGAACATCTTCTGCAAAGCCTTAGAGTCTTTCTCCTCTGAAAATGGTGAAGGTTTATCGTTTTGTACTGGAGACGAATTTGAGTTTGTAGAAGACTCCAATAATGGGTGGTGGTTGGTCAAGACAAAGGGTGGAAAGGAAGGTTGGGTACCAGCATCATACTTAGAGAGGGTGAATATTAAACCAGTAGCGCCCAAAAGACCAGCAAAACCAGACCCTCCAAAGAAGGTGCAACACCAAGATACGAAAACTGTTTATGTAGCTATGGCAGAATACGCTGACGAAGGGGATCAAGATTGTATCAGCTTTAAAAAAGGCGATCGCATGGAAGTGCTTGAAATGGATGAGGGAGGTTGGTGGTTAGTTACGATTGGAGGAAAGTCCGGTTGGGCGCCATCAAATTTTTTGAAACCTTTGGAATGAACTGAATTCAGAGTAAGAATGATTCAAAAATGAGTAACAGCCAAGGTTGAAGGACTTCTTAATTTCTCAGGCAGCATTAGGGCCCCGTCCACACGCATCCGGATATTTTTGATTCTGCAACTTTTTCGTTGCGGATTGGTCTTCCGTCCACACTTACCTGGTGACGGTTGATGAATCTGCAACTTTTTGAAACACTTCTCAGAGTGCAATACGCGTTAACGATTGAATCCGTCTATTTTAGAATACAGGGTAATTTAGTATTATCAACTGAGTTGATAACGTAAATTGGCCACCATGAAGAGTTTCAAAGCTCGCGTTTCGAGCGTTTGCCCTTCGTCCGAGCGAATAAGGAGGGCTAACGTTGTCGACATTTTTGATGGTTTTGGCCGCTCTGCTCATCGTGATTTTAACCAATAACTCGACCTCATGATTTTTCCAAATAAAGGACTCTCCTTTACATATCTTTTGTTTGATTGTGACATCTTTTCTCGTACTTAGCCAGTCTTCCAAGCGACACGTGTTGAAACTTCAAGTATAAAAAAATAGGCTGCTAATATTAATCGCAGCCTCAAGTCTCTTGATAGAGCACATGCTCTGTTGGAGAAAGCGTTGAGATATCCGGATGCGTATCGAATTCATGTGAACGGACTAAAACGATTCGAATGTGGTACGTGTGGACGCGAATTTTCATTAGACCCGCATCGGGAAAGTTGGGAATCAAAAAATATTCGAAGAAGTTTGGAAACTGTTTCTGACTCCCTTAAGCAAAGGGAGCTGACTTACCTGTTGGCGTTAAACTAGTGAGGGGTGAAACAGTGGCTTTTTCATACTATTAGATCATTTCTTCTCATTAAGAGATCCTATTAGTATGTCGGTGTGGGTTTGAAATAAACTGGTGACATAATGCTTTCTCTTTTTAAAATTTTGCCGAATTATTGACTTCTTATCAGTTTAACTCAAATTGGAACAGGGTTAACATTAATAACTCTTTTGTTAAAGATGGCGCTACGGTTAGAAAAATATTTTTGGCTGCGCCTCGTGTGCCACTTTTTTGTTCTTATTACATTTTGACGTCATCTGTGATCTATTACTGAACAGACGCACGGCAACTTGGAATCTATTTGTTTTATATAATAAAGAATTTAAAAAGTTTTAATGATGACGTCATGTATACGTCTGTCCTCCAATAGATCATAAATGAGAACCAATCAGAATGCATGCATAACTGAACTTATTATATAAACTCTCATGAAGCACGCTACAATAAGCCAATCAGAATCCCTGTTAGAATGGTTCAAATAAACTGATTAGCTGTACAAGACTAAAGCTGTCAAAAATGTCAAACCATCAAAGTTCATATTCTGCAATAGTTTACAAACTAAAATAGCTCGGCATGTCGAATTTAACACTTTTGCCTGAAGTTTTTTAGTTTCTAATACAGGATCTGAAAGTGAAATGTTCAGTGAAATTCGGCTCAGTCGTGGCTCACAAAAATACGTAAGTTATTTCACATGACAAGTAGAAAACAAACTGTTCAAGGCGAGTGTATTATGAATGAACAACAGCCGAATTCACTAAGACAAAAAGATCGCTCGGAATGACAGCGCCGTAAAACTCGGTTGCAGTGACTGATCTGGCCTTCCACTCAACGCATCGGAAAGGTAATCAGGGCAAGCTCTTATTTTTTCACTTGAAGGGTAGTCGATTTAGTTCCTGAGGCTTGCTCCACTGCGATGACCGAAGATCGCCATGATTAGCTAGCCGCGATAGACCTTAAGTCGCTCTGACACCGTCATGATTAGTATGAATTTTAACAGTTATGCCAGGTTATATTTTTCATCATTCCTGTTTTTTTCTATTTGAAATCGAAACTTAATATACTATACAAGTGTTAGCTGTATTTAATTTTTATTACCGTACGTAAACTCGCAATCTAACTGAGCGTGAAAACCGTTAAAAAAACTCGGACTGTCTATCTTGTTTTATCTTTGAGGATTTTTGTCTCTGCTCACATTACAGTAACGTAAATTACTGCGCCTGGCATTTTTGCAAACCTTTGCTCGCTTGTTCCAAAATTTCACTTTTAATTAACTAAAGAAAAGCTAGAAAGAAGTCCCGGAAAAGGTCGGACATAGTACGATTTGGCAGATGGCGTGACAGCTTTAGCTCAGTTCTATGCTCTATACTCTCATAGAGCACGCTCTTTCAACCAATGACAGTACGTGTTATATCCGAGCTTTATTATAATCAATGATAGAATTTAGCTTTAGTTAGTGGGAGATCAAACTAGTTTATAAAACTCATGTCATGTTACCAGCTGTTAATTAGGTGAACAACCACCAAACTTACAATAAACACTGAGCTTTGGGGCGAAGACTGCGAGTCTGCCAAGCTTAGTAGACCTTACTTAATGCGCAGGAGAGGAGACTAGCCAAAAGACCTTCTCTTCCCGGCCAGCACTCGGTCCAACTTTAGTGAACCTTTAGTTTAAGGGAGTTTTCAAAACATTCAATCGAGAAATCAATTGTTTACTGCGTTTCGAACAACCCGTAAGAACGTCTTTTGTTGCTCATCTGTTATACCTGAGTTATAATTTTTTCGGTCATCGATGTTTTTCTTTCGGTAGCTGCCATAAGGAGCCCATATATCTGATGATCGTTTCGTCACTTTGGCGTCACTTTGACGCAATAACTGTGTGTGTCGTCAGAACTTTACACTTTTAAGCTCATCGCAAGTGTCAATCACTTTTCAGGTTCATTGTAATTTCCCAAATCCCCATGAATTAAAACAATAATCAGTGCTAATGCCAAAACAGTAAAAATGAGTGAAAGTAACAGAATTGTGTCGCATTTCAAGATCCTGCCCCGCCTAGCGGTAATCATTTCATAAACAGCGTAACTTTCAGCTCAGAACTGTCATTACGAAATTCCAAGCTCATCGCAATTCAATCTCTGTATATTCAAATTTTGTTTTCCCCTACACAAACAGGTGCCATATCATGTTGTGAGTCTCGGAATATTGTATTGAACTGTCATCGTAGCTACGCAAGGCTAACTTGAACTTCTTTGTTTACAGCTCAAGACACGCGTTAATGTACAGTCACCCTAAAACACATAATGAAAGTTTTTGGAGCCACCAAGGAAACTTTATGCTCGGAAGCAGGGAAGGAGAGCTAAAATTTTCCAAGGAACAGATGGTTTTTGTTATAAGACTGTAATGGTCTTTTGATTGATGGTCTCTTTCCTGGCGATTTTTTAATTCTAATTTAAACCTTACGCAAGATGAGAGGTTTATCGGTAGATTTTACATATATTACATATTTCATGGTTAATCACGCAAAAACGCATGCTTCCCCCTCATCATCATGACATAAATCCATCTGGAATAATATGGTGGCGGAAAAGCGACGATCTCTCATCAAAATCGTGTATTTTTACGTCGAAACAACTTTGCGCCAACACAATGATCCGGTTACTAGCAACTCAATCATGGTTAAGTGATACGGAAAATGTTAAACATTCCAAGCATTTTAAGAGTTTGTCGACTTGCGTCGACGACGAATAGGAAACGCCGGACAAACCTTACCGTGGACCTGCCACAGGTATCTCACGGAAAAAGCGACTAGCCCAAGCTGCTTAGCGCAAAATGCGCCACAATGCCCGACAAAGTGAAAATAATCCCCATTGGCTGATTACGAAGGTACTCCCACTGGGCTTGTAAGATTCTGAAGATGAAAAGTTCATAAACCGCCGCCACTTTGAATAAAGCTCTTCTGGCAAAATGATATATTCAAATATCTTCAAATTTTCAAAAAAACAAAAGTTTGACCGAAGATTGGCATTTAAAAAGAAACGTATTTATCAGCTATAGATTAGTTTTGGAACTTAATTTAAATCCGATATTTCATCCTTTAGAGTAATCGTCCGCCTAAGGAAGTTTTATCTAAGATTGAATGTGGTCGACTCTGTCGTTTGCCAGATATGCTTGATATGATTTTATAAGATCTCATGCAAATAATTGTAAGCTGTGTGCAAGTCCATATTAGTTATGATAATGGGACAATTACTCGGTCTGAGTGATAACAAAATAGGACGACTGCGCAGCGGGAGTCCGATTTGTCTATCACAAGTATGATTACAGAACTTATCAATAAAGGGCAAAATTACTGAGCGCTGATTGGTTGAGAGAGAGGGCATTTTTTCTTAATCGAGGGCATTTTTAGTAATCAAGAGAGGGCATGATTACCTGTTAATGATTGGCTAATCCGTTGCATAATTTTGCCCTTTATTGATAAACAAGTAATCCCATGAGACCTCGTACTATTAAGGATCAATTGCACTTGAGTTTTCAAAATTTTCCAAATTGCCCTCGTCGCTTCGCGACTCGGGCAATTTTGGAAAATTTTGAAAACTCTCGTGCAGTTAATCCTTAATAGTACTTGGCCTCATGTGATTACCTATACTAATAATATACATGGAAAAATTACTCAGTTCTGATTGGTTAAGATAAATGCAGTTTTCAGGTAATTCAGTGCAGAAGATAGTTAATTCAGTGCAGAAGAGGGTTAATTCAGTGCAAAGAAAGAAACAAATCAGACATTCTGATTGGTCAATAATCAAAGAAACTCATAGATAGCCAATCAAATGCGAGCCTTGGATGGCGCAACAAAATTTGAAAATTTGGGAGCGAAACAATGGCCGGCGTTTTAAGTAGGTTTTCCTTCGCCACCGCAGCTGAAAAACAGCTTAAACAACGAAAACACTCTAAAAAGCACTGCTTTTTGGTTGTCAGTTTGGAAAAAGTGGTGTTTAGAGAGGGGAATTGCCAAGGAAATCGAAAATTACGAGCCGACCCAGCTTAACACTTTGCTCGAGCGATCCAACGCCGAAATTAAAAACAGTCATAGTTAAACCTCGGAAACGACGATTCCTAACTGAACTATTCCTTGAACTGTTTAGTCGGACTTTGAACTTTCTTGCACCTTAAAGATGTGAAGATATCATTGCCTATTATTGTTTTGATCCTACGCGGTTGTTTTGACCGAACGCACGGTCTGAATAAATTATTTTTTGCACTTGATGCGCGCGCTTTGCTTATATTTAATTATGATAGGCCATCTCTTATTTTTTCATGTATATTATTAACACGTAATCACATGATTTTTCTCGTGCAATTTGGAATAAACAAGCACTTGTTAATTTTTTCAAAGACCTCAAATTGCACTCGCCCTACGGGCTCGTGCAATTTTGTTAGTCTTTAAAAAAATTTACTCTTGCTTATTTATTCCAAATTGCACTCGAAATCATGTGATTACCTATACGAACTGGACGACACGAAATCTTAAAATTCCGAGAAAAGAAGAATTGCCAAGTTATGAAAGAAAGGGAAAACCAAGGTTGTGATTGGTTGACTTAAACTACAACTTTGAATGTGATTGGTTAATTTAAACAACAATTTTGGATGCGATTGGCTTATTGGACCAGCTGATAACAAACTTGGAAAGTAAATTAAAGGAAAAACAGGAGCTGTTTTGAACCAATCACAATCGGGAAAATTTGTAATTTTTATGATTAGTCCAGTTACACAATTCCCTGCTGAGAGCATTATGTTGATGGGCAGAATTACCTCGAAAATGAAAGGGGAAACTTAAGGGCATACAGGAAATTTACACAGTAACAAAAACAAAGGAAAAGAAAAGAAAACCATGGGAGTATCTTCATTACTTTACTTGGCTGGTGAAAACAGTAATCTTTTAGGACGGATCTGTTTCGACGGCTTTACATATTAAGCATGCATCTCAACCCTTAAAAAATCGACGCTAATTATGATGAACTAGACCTCTTCCTCAACAAAACTGCTACTCTTCATTAGATACCATTTTACTGCATCACTGCGTTGTTATAAGCAGAATCCCACGCAAAGACAACTTGCTCAGAGTTCATGTAGATAACCACTGTAAAGAAGTCTAATCGTCTAGGCCATTATCATATCAAAAGATATTCCAACAAACATCTCCCGTGAGCCATTTATTATGCTCCGAAGAGGGTCGTGAAATGTAATTTTAAACTGAATACGTTATGCTTTTATTCATTCTCTAGAGAGCGAGTGAGTGTGTTGGTGTCGACAAAGACAGCTTCTTCAATTTCAGTGACATATCACAATGGAAAATTTCATTTTACATCATTGGGATAATCAAACAAATACAGTCGCGAGGTTAAGGACCTGTTTGCTTGCCAACTGCGTTGTTAATGCTATCGGTCTGTTTATTGCAAGTTTTGGAAACGCCGTCATCCTTCTTTCTATTTGGCGGACCAAGTCTCTGCATTCACCGTCCAACACTTTGTTGTTCGCTCTTTCATTAACTGATTTATTAGTTGGAACCGTGACACAACCACTGTACATTATAACACGGGTGTACTTTCTTGTCACCGGCAAAGATGGGCCACTGGCTCTGATGTCTGCTTTTGATGTCATTTCAGGCAGTCTGTCGGGAGTGTCATTTATCACCGCAACTTTAATTAGCGTGGACAGGTACCTTGTACTTTTATTACACTTGAGATATAGATGCCTGGTAACAAACAGAAGAATTTGTGTGTTTATCCTCGGCTCTTGGTTGTTGTCAGGGACATGGGGATTCATCTGGACGCAAGACATTCGATTATTTTACTTTCTTGGGTTTGGTTCCTCAACGACATGTTTCTCTATCATACTTTTAATGTATTACAAGATTTATCAAGTAATCAGACGACATCGTCGACAAATCAACAATCAAGAAAACCTCAAACAAAGTTCTCACTCAATTGCCAGCAGAATCAGCTTTCCGAGTTACACTAGATCGGTGGTAAATACGTTCATTGTTTGTGTCCTTCTCTTTCTCTGTTATTTCCCTTATCTTTGTACAGCAGCTGTCATACAACTTGGTGGACTCAGTACGGCCAAGAAGATATCTTTGGAAGTTTCTGGAACGATAATCTTCGTAAATTCTTCTCTGAACCCGTTCGTATATTTTTGGCGAGTAAAAGAGTTTCGAAGTGCTATTAAAAGTACCCTGCGGCGATTGACAAACACTCGGATGCAACCACCTAGTAGTTAACACTCCACAAAGAGATTTTAGCATTGCAACTAACCTTTTTGCCATGCAAAACACTGTAAAAGTACATATGTGACGTTCGTTAAAAAGATCATTGTGGTGAGAATATTTTGAAAAAAGTGACCTCCAATTTTATGTTCAATTGGCGCTCAATACCAGAAAATGTACAGGGCCTAACAACAATTTACCGAAGCTCCTAAGAATCACGGAACAGATAATGTCTGCGGACAAATATCCAAGCATCTCTTCGCGCCAAACGGAGGCTATTGTTTATATATCATAAACTTGATATTTACACTAGACCTAAATCTAATTCAAATAAATTTTACATGAGAAATAAAAGTAATCAAGTCTAATAAGTTGGTTATAGCGGGTTTCGCCCATAACGAGTTTCGCACATATCGTTTCGCCCAGAACGAGAATGGTTTCGCCCAGAACAATAAAGGTTTCGCCCATAGGTAAAACTTCTACACTCTCACTCGGAAAACGTCAACCTTATAAACGTTTGTATGCACAGAATGAAGAAAAGTGACTTGACCTGAGATCATGAAATTTTGAAACGAACAAGTTACTGTTGAAACGAACAAGTCAATTATAGCTTTCACTGTGGAGCGGGGATTGTTAAGGTAATTCGCGCACGAAATACTGCAACGTCCGTTTGTCGTAAAAGCATTGCTATGATTTTTTTGCATCACTTTTCTTCTCGAGAATTAAATTAAACGCTTTTGAAAACACTTGCGCGTGGAACATATCATCGTTGCAAATCTTTTGTACACGGAAGATAAGTTCCGCACGCCAGCTTATGAATATATGTAAATACGGCTTCGTGAATACTAAAACAAAGGAATCGAGAGTTAAAGATTGTATTTCTGACATAGGTAACGGCAACATATAATTGGAAAAGAGATAGAAACTAGTCAAGTTCATGAGTGCGCGCGCGTGGAATAGCTTTACTACTCCGACGAAGTTTTTTAAAGTTTTAACTGAAAGGAAATTACCGTCTTGCACAAAAAATCTCAATCAAACCTTATCAATAGAATTTGAAAAGCTTACTCTTGCAAAAATATCTCACCTGTTCGCTTATCAATAGATTTTCACTCTTGCAAAAAAAATCTCACCTATTTATGCCTGGGCGAAACCATTCTCGTTATGGGCGAAACGCTTCTTGGGCGAAACTCGTTATGGGCGAAACCCGCGGATACCAATAAGTTACACGTGTATCCTTTAATTTATTGGGAAAAAAAATAGCACGGAAACAAAATATGAGCCTCTGTAAGAGAACCTGCCACATATAATTCTATCCCTTAGTAATTTGCTACATAATTCAAGCAGTTCATACAATAAACACTTTTGTGACACAAACCCCGCTCTGAGGGGACACATCAAGGGGGTATATACATTTTTCTTTTCAGTCGTAAGCCCGTAAAAATTTACATGTTTAAAATTTTTTTGAGCCATGTCCTATCACAAATTTTTTCTCCAGCCATAACTAGAACCTGTAATGAATGATACTAAACCTACAAAAGCCTAGAGGGTGTCTGCTTTTAATCGTGAAATCCCCGCCTTCAAATCACTTTAGCATTCATAGTATAATTGATTTAAAAAAGCTAGTAGCTGAATGTCATGTTTTGTAAGGCACCATCTGTGTAGTTAAATCGAGTGGACAAGAGCTCTTTTGGTAATTGACCGATTCTCAAATTTTCCGTAAATCTACGTCAGTTTTGCATCTGATTGAGGTATTTGGTACATGAATAGAGAATAAATCAATTTGGTAATAGCAGTGTAGTCGTGAAAACGTCTAAATATTTAGACGGTAATTCAATATATGCACAAGTTATCAGGTTAACTTATTTTAACTAAAAGGCTACTTAGTCTACAAGAATCATGTACAAGAGTTTGTAATTTTATACTTCAGATCACGATTCACTGGCAACCATTCTAATCTTGAACAAGTTGCTGGTTGTGAAACGAAACTGATCAAAAAGGAACTAGAGTCTTTGGCTCATAATGTTATTTTCCCCTTGACCATCTTCATGTCCAGCATACAAATGTTCCTTCCTCCATTTAATTCTTCTGTTCTGGAACCAAATCTTGACCTGAGTCTGGGAGAGATTTAACTCCCTGGCAAGACGCTCTCTCTCTGTACCGACAAGATACTGCTGACGATCAAAAGCTGATTCTAGCCGGTTTAACTGATCTGAAGTGAAAATGGTTCGTTTACGACGCTTCTTTATCTCCGGTTTGTCTCTTAGTCCAATAACCAGGTTACCTGACAAAAAGAGGACGTCAACAGCTCTATTAAAATATACTTAAAAATAATAGCTCTAATTTTGGTTAACTGTTGAATTTTTGTTTTTTTTTTTGATAATATTGCTAACGAACAGAAGCGAAGACAGAAAAGATTCAAGTATATAAGTGCTTACTCAGTTGCAGACTGAAGATGGAAGCCTTAATAATAATTATGCTCTCGGTTTTGTCTATGGTTTATCAATTTGACCTTAAATCTCTTGAATAATGACTTCAATTAAGCGAAAACGTTTTGTTCCATCTATTTGCCATATACACAATTTGCAATTGGTCTGTAATTCTTTCAAATTACAGACCTTTTTTTGTCTTTGATAAAAAAAAACTTGTAAATGTATATTAGCTTTTCACCACAATTGACCTGAAAATTATCATCTTATGTGTGATAGATTGTCCAAAATGATGTTCCAAGCCTTCGCTAAGGTCCTTAGGTCCTTTACTGCTTTTGCACTTTCTCTTGAGCTGATTTTCCATCAAAACACCCAGTAACGTGACGGTACACGTGGTTTAAAAAAAAACGTTGTTCAGTTTTTATGGACCAGGCTCAAGGCACAACCAATTCGAAGATCGCCCGCCTAAGAAGCAACTGGAACTGAGTCAATCCAGAGAAAGCATAGGGTCTTGTACTTATGAACAGAAAAGCCCCCTAAAAACTGTGTTAATAGGTCTGGATTCGAGTTTGTTATTCTACTTTCTCTTCCTCAGTATTGTGCTTTTGTTTCTGTCTAAAACAACTTATTATGACTTCTTTTGTCTAAATATGAATACATTACAAAATAATTGCTATGATAGTTTTTGAAAAGTGTACGCCAAGAACAAAAAGGACCAACACAGAATTCAAACTGTTCGGGGAATCGCAAATTCATTGTTTATTTACCGCGCCACGCAACAGTACAATATCATTAAATCTGAGCTTGAAGTTTCAACATTGTACATCGTAAAGATGATAATGAAAACAACAATACTTACGTTAATAAAAGAGGTACATGTAAATTCAGAATAAAGAAACGAAGAATTCAAGAAAAAGAATGTTTTAAATAAAGTTACTTACCATGCTGTCTGCTGTGAGATGTTTGACTGAATGGAAAAATTATCTGTTGGCTGGAGAGATTACAGTGAGCCGAGGGAACATAAAATCGAGAGGGTCTCGAAATAATGCCGAATGCAGATGGAATGAAGGCCGAGGGATCTGCTTTGGAGTAAACGCCTGAGTCCCGTTCCATCTGTAGCTGTAGTGAACTGGCTTGTAATCGCAGGTGAGATTCGCTTGAGTTTTGGCACGAAAGAGGTACTTGGCACCCATGGCCACTGTCCCGCTCCTCTAGGCAGCTTGGGTGTGGACAAGAGCAAAACGAACGATACGAAGACTGATACATACTGAGTGGCTGCTTCTTGAACATGGACGAATACTTTCAACCTCAATGTCCGAGAAAATTAATACTTGCTTGATTATCGCCAGCCAATGCGTCTATGAAGATCTAAGCGGAAAGTAATTCAGTAGCTGTATTTATGACAAACTGTTGCCAGACAACTCAAAACCTCTTGCAAACACGTTAGCAACTAAATCCAGCAATGAAGGAAATGCGCCAAATAACATTATTATAGAGCATTTACTTGATGAAAGATGTATGATGAAAACCAAGAATGCATCCTTAAAAGTACATCTGCATTTATCTAGGCGCTTTCAAAGTACTTCAGTGTTTTGGAATGATGATCTGTGGCTTTGAGCAGGGCCAATTCGTAGTCCCGTTTGCCTGCAGTTCTCTCGCCAGGTTCGTTCTTATTTTAATAGTTGTCCATGCGTTTGTAACTTATTTAATCTTTTTTTAATGATCCATAAACGTGTAACCTCCTCTGATAAGGACATCATTTCATCTGAACACCAAACCAAAATTTAATATGGAATGATACGAAATCTAACTCTTTCACGAGATTTTCCTATTCCTGTAGTTTAAGAAACCGTAACCTGTGTTTCCCAGTTCTGGGAAAGGGCTCCATATTGTCGAAACATTGATTTTAACTCAGGAAACTGTAATAATTAAGAAAAAAGGATCAACAAATAATTCAGCAATCACGAATTTGACGATTCTCGCAACGAGATCACGTTCAGGATTCACATGTTCGTGATGTCACCTGACATGAGTGGTACTTCTGGTCTTATGACGGCTTAATTACGTTCCCTTTTGTTCTCCTCTTTAAAAGAACGATCACTCCGTTCAGAAAATACATCTGGGGCGACAAAAGTAAAGTTCTCCTCCTATTTGAAAACGCACGGATCGTAAACGTTTGAACTGGTTTGTTTTCAGTGAAGAAATGAACATTTTTGTTGAAATTAGTATGACTGGTCCTGTTTGGAGGAGAGGCACATGTTGTTGATCTAAATTGTATTTGCACATTTCGTACGCACTACATGTGTCAACTTTTCTTTGAGTCCCAAATGAATAAACAAAAAAAGTTTCATTGATAACAGAAAATTGTACTTTTTTATTTTTGATCCCGCTTATTCATGCAACTAACATACTTCATTAATTCTTTTAGTTTACCTAAAAATAATTTTTTTTTCACATTGTTATAAATTCCCTCTTTGGTGGCTAAATGTTCAAAACGAATTGGAGATTTCTTTTATTATTCCTAATATTGAACATAAAGAATGGGTAATTGGCAAACAAATTAAAAATGTAGTCTTATTCCAAAATCGAGAGATACACTTGTCTTAAAGCGCTGTAAATGTAGTACCATATCTACATAACTCTCATGAGTTAAATGGTTTTTGAAGTAAGTGAAAAGGATAGAAAGAAGAGAACCAAAAAGCGCTTCTCTGACCTAAGATAAACAGACAGGATGACGGTTGCCCTGGAGAAGCATTTCTTTTGCAAGAATGTCCCATTGTGTTCGACTTAATGCTGCTAAATGCTTCAATTACACTGTTCAAAATTTGTCTCTTTATTCTAATCATTACGGCTCAAACGTCCTCACAGTCAAGGCCGCGAATGTTTTGCATTGAATGGCATGGACTCAAAGGAGCCTCTATAAAAAACACGAACAAAGCTATCATACCATGCTCACGGCCAAGCATAACAAAAGCAAGCAATTATCAATTTACTTGTTACTGCGATCAGAGGTGGGGAGCTTGTAAGCAATAAAAACATATTGCAAAACACCTTTACCGACAAGAAAAGATCAGAGGTGTTTGGTGAGTCGAAAAAAACATTCTCGTCATCGAGTACCTTTCATTATGATCACTAACCTCGAATATTTCGTGAAATTAAAGAAAATTTTGGAACATCAGACGCACTAAAAATAGCGTACTTTCACATAACTTTAGATTAAATCATGAAGACATAAATTGCCTGAAATATGGAATCCACAAACAGTGTTCCAACTCAATAAAGCAAACTCCAATTATAGCGCGTTTATCACTCTAACATGTTAAACCAACTCAATACAGTGTAAATAGTTGAGAATAAATATTTCAAGGGAACATGCAGTCATCGTAATAATTCTCCGTTACTCGTTCACAAATTTCAAATTGTCTTAACACATACAAGATGAAAGTTCGAGTTCAGATAAACCCTCTCACACAGAAAAAAAACTTGCAACACGTCTACACTGGCGTCATGATGGCAGAGGTTCATTCGTGCTTGTCTTCACTTTCAATTAATAGTCTATTCTGATATACAATGTAGGAAAAGTTCTCCCTTTTTATTCCACGTCAGTGTTCAGTTTACCTTCAGAAATCAAGGCAATACAAAAGAAACAAAACCACTAATCATGTTTCGTTGAAAACCTCCTGGTGCGAGATACCCCCTACTTTGCCATCAAATCTTTCATTAAATTTTGCTTTCATACGCGCAGGAAGAACAAGAAGCTTTTACGAGTTTTTGTCTCTTTTCTTTATTATTTTAAACTCGATATTAATAACAAGCAAGGGTAATTGATCTACAGTAGAAACTGCAGAGGTTTCTGACAAACTCGACAAAATGTGTGAAAAATTGAAGCGTCCCGCAACAGAAGGCTACAGTTCTACAGATACTACTGTCACAGTAGTTTGATCAAACTTTGTGTTTCATTTTCGACATTATCCATTCAGGCAACCTAATTGAACAAGAAGCCTTCACCTTTTTACTTGCTTAATATCGGATGTGAAAGTTTCTCCTCCTTTATCGGACGGCACACAAAGAAAGTTTCTACACTTGTCCGAATATGTAATGAATCCTAAAACATAACAAACAAACAAAGATCTGAATTCTCACTCCTCCAATCAGAGGGCATTTAATTAATGGGTATTAGCTATGTGAATTAAACATACAGTAAAATACACTTTTACCATAATTTATCATGAAGAATCTTATTTCAAATGGAGAACCACGGCTCCATCAAATTTGCAGTGCAATCAACAAGTGTTCCTCAGGAGTTACCATCCAGGCCTTCCTTTGCCAGTATTACATTTTTGCAAAACCTTCCACGTCGCTAACACAGAAAGCTTTAAACAGCAAGCAGCCGTTCCCTGCTTTACTCGAGTCACTAGGCGCAACAGCTTCATACCCTTACAATCGACCGACCACCTGAACAGATTTTCTAACAATCCATTGTCCTTCACCAAATGTCCGCCTTATTTTCATCTTCTTTGTTCATGAGGTAGCCATGGCAACTGTTACAAACTAGTACTGTCTCTTCATAAGCTGCCGGTGCTATTCATGAAGATCGAAAAAATACAAATCAGCTGAGTTAACCAATAAGCTGTTCTTATCATCATACAACATACGTAACTTTATTCCCTTCAAAGTTTGTTATTCCTGGAAACATTATAAACCTAATTTTCGCGTAATAAAATAAATGATGGCAAACGAAAGTCAGGGCCCGCTTCATGCAACACATCAGGTTTGCACAAAACCAGGGGTCCTAGATATAATTTATTTTTTATTCTCTTAATGCCTCTTCAATTCTACATTTATTGTTTCAACCACTTAGGACCATCAGTTACACAGTTGAAATGCACGTACAAAAAACTTGACAATGAAAAGTCTTGTTCAACGACAACAACAACAAGTTTAAAGAACTGACAGGTGTGTGGAGAGGAGGGGGGGAGGGAGTGGAGGAGGAGGAGAAGTTCTGACTTCCATTGGTATTTCATGGCTGTTTTCTCCATGAGGAACGACAAAGGGTAATTTCGAGAAAGATTTTTTTCGCTCACCAGTTGCTCCAAATACAGCTCTTTTTACACGCTTACAGCAACAGCGAGAGCAAAAGCTATCTCCGCAATGCCGGCAGTATTGCTACAAAAAGACACAACAGTAACTAGATGTCGCAATGATAAAACATGAAAGCACAAAAATTCACTGAATTTTGAAGTATAGATAACTAAGAGTTATAAACATATATCCACTAGCTTTCTTTCAAATATGCTGTAATCTGATTGGCTATTGCTACTCGCAATCGATTCCGTGATAGACAGCGAGTGCCTAACAGAGTGAGGGAGTAAACTTAATAGTATAAAAAACATGAGCCGATCTTCTTCTTTAGTTTTGAAATACTTACTTGATTTATTCCAAAATAATTACATTATATGCTCTCGATTTCTATACTTGATACCTGATGCAGGCTACTATGATACAGTGTGAGCAAGCCGTTCAGCCAGGCGTGTCACACTTTGTACAAAGTACATTTCAACAGCACACTGACTGACACAATGTAATAAATTTGCTACCAAAAAGCTTTCTTTACTTACCCTTTTCTTTAACAGAGAAGAAAATGTAACATCGCATGAAGCACAGTTTACTGAGAGAAGAATAATAAGCAACATGACCGGAAAATTACAGTAACTAATAAAAACGGGAAGTACTAGTATAAATAATTTAATTCTTTTTTTACACCAACTAATAAAGAGTAATGCGTTCGAGAAAACTGCCGATCTAACAAAGCGAAAGCGACACGAAAGAAGCAAAATAAACATTCCGTGATTGTTATTATTCAAGCCAGCAGCAATTAGAAGAAGTTAACGAATACACTGTCAAGTTCTTGATCTCATTAATAAATGACGTTTGGTTAAGTTTCACTGTTTGTTTACAAACATAATAATCAGAAGAAATCTTCACATCCATATTACCACTATTTACGCGCTTTTTTTTCCTGCGGTAGTCGCTGAAATGGGTCACCACAGACAATCCAGAGAAACGCTCTGAGAAAACAATTAATAGAATTAGAGAAAGAATGTAAAATTCTTCACTCCTCATTCTCAATTGATGGCAAAGGCGACGAATACATTTCTTTCAAGTTAAATCACTAACTTACTTGCACTTCTCCTTGTTAACGGGGTATCCTGTGAATTACCAAAAAATATCAGTCATGAATCATATATTTTTACGTCTTACTTACAGCCATGAGCCAAAAGTTGTATACTAAAATATACAAAACGGTTTCCTCACGTTTAATTTCACACCGAACACTTACAATTCGATTTAATTATACATCATGATAAGAACTAGGATGGGCAAGACTCCTGTGGGCACTGGCGATGACCAAGTTTTACATTTTACCATAAACATTGATCTAATTTTCGGGTAGTCCAGCGGAAAGTTCGGGTTATGTTACTGATTAGTTCCTGCTTAGTCATAGTTACAGTGATCTTCCGAAACAGCTTTGAGGGAAACGCTACAAGGATACGAATTGAAATGACTTCAACTATCACAGGTTCCCGCAGATACAATATCATGCAAGCTTCAGAAGCAGTATACAAAACTCAAGAGGCCCACAAGCACATGACGATTTTCAAACTAAAACAGTGATTGCCTGAGATTTTAAATGAATACAGCATTGAAAAATATTGTTCGTTTCGTTGTGTCTTGTACCTCTTGCTCGTAATTCTCATCCTCGGAGAGAGATATCTCCTGTTCTTGTGCATCATACTGAAAAGAAAGAGGAGAAAATCAAAATAACTTATAACAGAAGCATATCACCTTGCAATGTCTAAATTCCGTCAGGTTGTTTAAAAACACGTTGGGTTATTAGCCGAACAATCAGAAGCAACGCTGCATTTTTGCCCAAATATGGGATTCGAGGTTCAAGCAGTGTTTCCTTCATAAAAACTCACAGTCGATTACCTAAGAGGCCGTGAAACCCACAAGAACCAAATTTTAAGTCAAAATCTTTATTGACCGGGAAACGTTTGGTAAGTTACGGTAATTATTCTGAAGCGAGACTGAAAGAAAATTCCAAGAAATTTGGTATCCACTCGTTTCGTACCCAATGTCAATCAATTCGTACTCATTTTGAGTCAGTTCGTATGTAAACCCCTGGTCTAATCGTACCCGTCCCAATATACATTCCCTCAAAATACCTCGAGCGCTGCAAGCGCGAGCGTGTCAAGAGAGTTCGATTGTTGTTTATTAAATAATTCAAATAGTACGCGCGCTCTGATTGGCCATAAAACCATTTTACATGAGCGTTTAGACTTTCGAATCTGAGGTGTTTCGAAAGCATCTTTGTTCGAGGTGTTAGAATCATCTTCTTTGTCGTGGAAAAAGGCCTTCCGTTAAACACGGCGAAGGAATTTTTCAACGTCTTGCTTAACTGAAAATTCGTCGGGTTTTTGGAAATGGGAAAACATTTAAGCCCCTACTGAGAGCGGATTTCTCGGAGTAGGAAAGTGGAAAATTTTCTAGAATGGTAACTACGGTTTTGAGGTTTCCAGGTGATGAGTCACTAGCAATTTGAGGACCGATACGTTGTTCAAGGTCGAGATAATTTGGTTTTATCAACTGCGTTGATAATGTAAATTGGCCACCGTAAAGATTTTCAAAGCTATCGTTTCGAGTGTAAGCTCTTTGTCCGAGCGAACAAAGGCCTACGAATCGACCTAGCTGAGTACGAAACGCCTGGTAACCACCCCAGCTCTCGTATACACCTAGATGCGTGTTTCTGGGTTAAAAAAGGTGCATCCTTTCCCTTACAAGGTTAAATCACGTACAAAATCTTGGAAACAAGAATATGAAACAGTAATACAATAGAAAATCCACTCCTCACCCATTCATCATCGTAATCATTTTCTGTTACTTCTAGGTTAGTTTGAGTTTTTGAAGGGATTTCCAACCAAGGATTTACCAGACCAATCCAAAAGTTCTGTGATAAAATATTCTTCTTCACTCGCTGTAGTCTAAGCCAGAATTTCCCTTGAGCCTCCCTGAAAACTATCAAGTTATAAAACTATATTGATGAGAGTTCACAGTGCATCCACCAACAAGTGAGACATTTATTGCATAGCCCTTTTATCACTGTTTCACCCACTACTATAACAATGCAATAACTGGTTCTGTCACACGACATGGATAAAAGATGAAAAATAAAATTAAATAAAGATTAAAAGATAATGAAATAGAGGATCTCTCCCTCTATCAATCAAGAAAAGATTAACCAATCATGCAAACCACAATAAGTATAAAATTGTTCATTATTTCTTTTAAGTCCTGCGTTAACAAAAACAGTGGAAGAGACACCTCATCCAAAGATTAAGGTGCGCAAGTGATTTGCAAACCTTTACATTTCATGAAAACAAAGAAATCTAAGCCAAAAGCATATCATGTCACACCTTTTCGAATTTTTCATACACTTCTTGGCTTCACTCTAAATGCCAAAGGTCATAACTGGCAAGGTCCACTCTAAGTTTATCTCAATCATCCATAAAATTAAGGTTTTTACGAATGTAAAGGAAAAAATCAGTGACAAAAATTGTGCAATGATGACTGTGTTCAGGCAAAAATGTGCAATCTGCACTTTATCCAACTTGTTTAACTTATCCAAAGAAGACTTTTATTAACCATGAATCAAAGTCATGCATAAGTGTGTGTTTTATAAAGACTACCTTCTTTAAAGCCTGAGTTGCCTAGAAATGTGAGTATGAGGCCAAAAGTCACCAGGTATCTTCCAGGGAGAAAAAATAAAATGCATGCTGACAACAAGAGAGAAAGAAAGCACCTAAAGGTAAAGATAAAAATGTTCTTTTAACAATGATGTTTATCACCAGAAAGGAAAGTCTGTCTCAGAATATTGTTGACTGCCTTTACGGCTTGATTTGAAGTAAGATACACAAAACAGGAGGGGAAATTCACCAGCACTGACTTAAGCAAGTTCAAAACTTGAGTCAGATTTTAAGGGTTGAAGGGCCTGTATTATTAGACACAAACACCACTAAGATAATAATTAACTGGACTATTCAGACAGACAGTATAGAGTGCATCCAAAATTCACAATACCTACAGTGAAGATTGGAGCAAACAAGAATTTCTACAACTAAGGTTTCAATATAAATATCTTAGGAAAGTATGTGTTGAAAATGTGATCATAGTAAAATAATGCTTCAACATACAGACATTTCTTATTCCTATCCTATGCAGTATCATTTGACTTGAAGTTTTTTCACTGTACTCCTTGTATGGTTCAAGTTCTTTATCTTTGTTATGTACTTACATGTAATTATTTAATTAATTAATTAATTCTTTATCTCTGAAAAAGAAAGAAAGAAAGAAAGAAAGAAAGAAAGAAAGAAAGAAAGAAAGAAAACGACAACATACCTCTTTGAAACAGAGGGATCTTCCCATCTGGCAATGCTGTTTATAACAATTCAAAAGCAAAATAAGAATTTAAATAAATGAATAAATAAAAGATGAAACGAATATCAAAAGAGTCAGTGGAAAAGATGCAACAAACAGAGTATCTCTGATACTGGCAAACAAATATAGCAGTTGGATTTTTGTTAAAGGTCTTTTGGATGTCATTCCTACTAGGTTTACCTGTAAGCAGCAAATCATATTTTCAAGTCTCTGAGGGTACTGACAGGGAAGTCTTTATTTTGATTTACACCTGACACCTTTTCCCAAATCATCCTCTCTTATAAATCTTATACTGATCTCATAACTAAATGTACATGTACTTTCACAATTCTATGGCAAATTAAAAGTTGGGATAGTGTAATGCCTGACTGGAGGAGAACCAAGGTTCATGTACTAATTGAAGAACATACCGGTAATAGTCATTGTACAGTGGTGAGAAAACTTCCCACTCAGATAGTGCTGGTGTTAAACAATACAAATTCATAAAAGAGAGATGATTTCAGTCAGCTGAAAAGGTTCCCACTTATCATTTCCAGAGCAGCATTTTGGAAATAACACAGTTACTGGCAGGCTGTACTCTCCATTGGAAGTTTGACTGTTTCGGCACAATAAAAAATATGATGTATCTCAGTTGGATTTACAAGAATGTACAGCTGTCACAATTGTTACCTGTAAAACTGTTCGAGGCATTCACACAAGGTTTCCTCTACCATCTGTATTTGCACAGAGCTGGAAAAACATTTATAAAAAAAACTAGTGAGTCAACTCTATTTCATAATGTGATAAGAACTAGGCATTCTCCCAAGAAAAAAAAGTGTCTGTAAAAGACTTAAAACATGAGAAATTTTTGCACTAGTATATTTGATATTCTGGAAAATTGAGATTCCTACACTCAATGTTGAAAATATTATTCTAAAACTCAAAGAATATAAAACTAAATCAAATTGATCAAACTATATGTTTCCCACCAATCTTAACTAAAAAACTTTTCTATTCATTTATTTCTTTAATTATTTCCTTTAATTTCCTTAACTTCTGTTATTTAGTTTCTTTTGTTTCTTCATCTACAATGCAATAATTAAGCGGATCTTGGGCAGTTGATTGACCCGCTTCAACTAACAAATCTGCTAACAGTGGGTCAACTTATTCTTAAATTTTGCAATGAAATTAATTTCTGAAGATATGTCTTTATTAAATACACAAAGCAAATGTAATACACAATGTTAACTCAGCATACATACATCTTAATGTACTCTTTTAGATGATCATGTGCTTCCTTAATGGCTGCCAGTTTAACATCCTAAGAAAACAAATGAAATAAGTTATAATCTCTGATAAGAAATCAGAGGGCCCAACAGGTCTTCAAATTACATTACATTTGATTGCCTTTTCCACATTAATTTTTGAGGGACAGGGCACAGTTAGCCATATGTAAGCAAAGTGATGAATTGAAATTCCAAAACACATGACTGCAAACCAAGACCTATGAAACCAAGAGTTGTAGTCTGTCCTGTGTGTAATTTAAGTATGCTGAGAGATCAAAAGCTGTCAGTGCAAAATACTGTCTATATAAAAAATGGAGTCTGGAGTCTGCTTTTTTGGTCTTGATCAACCTCAATTAATGGTTATTAATAAAGCTAAATGTTATCAGGCTTAGAATTCATTCTTTATTGTTCTCAGTCTACATTTTGTGCTGACTGTAAAAATGTACCTGAAAGATATTATTATAGCATAAATTTAGGTATTTCCAACAGTATGACTCATGTTCCTTTAACATATAATACAGCATAGAATAAAGAAATGTTACAGAGCCAATTTCAAAGAATCATTATCAATACCACCACATTCACTGCCACTTGCAGATGTACATTTGAACTGTCTTCCTCAAGGAGATGATCCATCACTTAATAATCCATCTATCATGAACAAAGGAAATCCACCCAAAAGCAAAATGATGCAAGTAAAAGACAGAACCACAGGTCTTTCACTCCACTTTTACTCCATCAGAGCACAATCCACTGCTCTATTTCAGGATTCCAGCAGGGCCTTCATGGTTACTAAAGCAGCCACAGAGTATAGCATATATGATATTACCCCTTTACTTCACTGAACTGATCTTTACCTCTTCTGAGAAGTTACCAAAAGGTGCCAATGCTGAGATTAATGGGTTAATGTGACAGCAACTGAAATGTTCCCTTTTCTATATTGTACAAATAGAGGGGATTTGTATATCTAGCATTAAATTTGTTCATGTACTTACTAAATTCAAATCATCATCATCTTTCCTGCAAACTTTTTTTCTTTGCAAGAGATTACTGACTTTTGAAGTTTTTCTTCCCAGCCTTCTTATCCCAGATAAGCCAAATATAACTGACGCATACACCAGTGGTATATGGACGACATATGCTGCAAGCAAAATACTGTGTGATTATAAACGTAAGAATTGTCATGTAGTTGTTTACTCAGACAACTTAAATGAACAAGAGTGTAATTTCTCCTTTGAGACACTCAGGGGGTGCTGACTTTTTTTGAGACATTTATATGTACAGGGGTTTCAATAAAAGCCAGTCACCAGCAGTCTACCACCACCTGTAGGTCTTCTCACTGCCAGCTGTCAGTTGAGCCTTTGCACAGTCTCTCATGTTTGGCTTCACTTTGGGGCACAGCTGCCCAGCTATTGCACCATCATTAGTTGCTCATGGAAAAAGTTACTGAAACCTCTATATGTATAGCATTACATGGGTGTAATCTATGCATGAGTTACAAAATGTCCTTCTCCAAAGGATTGCAAGTTCAGGGTGCACATGCCCATCTAAAGAAAACAGTTAATTAGGGTCTTAAATGCCATCGCACATCCTGGATTAAATTTAACTTTTCTATTTTAGCATTTTTTTTGTCTTGTTCTCATCCTGCAAGATACCTTTACATCTATTAGAGTAACTCTACTGTATATTTCTGTCTTCAGTGTACTGTACCTAAAAACCATCCCCATTTATCTACAGAAATTATATTTTCTAAATGGTCATATGATTGTCACAGCCCCTCTTATTAAGCTGACTATGATTCACATGAATTCTCATAAGTCACTGTCAAAGTGAAAAAAAGATTCCCAAGATAGTACCAACAGACTTAACATGTAAAGATCAGAAAAGACAAGAAATTTTACAGAAGCTAACTGATAGGAGAATACTTGTAAGGACTGAGGTGATCAAACAAGCTGGTGAATCGATTCTACATGAAGAGAGGATGTCAGCATCCATCTAAAAGAATTTGAAATATTGTGGCAAGTCGGCCAAAATTCGTTTTCACTTCTACTTTAATATTTTGTAGCCCAATATGTTCTAATAGTTGTGGTGTAGTTTTTTTTGTGAAAATATATTTTAGTTTTCGAGAAATGACTCTTTTTGTTCGACTGCTCAAATATGAACACTAAATATGAAAACTAAAATGTATTTTCACAAAAAAATTACACCACAATTATTAGAACATATTGGGCTACAAAATATGAAAGTAGGAGTGAAAGGAAATTTTGGGTGACTTGCCACCGTTTGTCTGATGCATGCTGACATAAGCTCTTAAGTGTAATTAATCATTCAGAGAACTTTCTTTGAACAATTATCTATACAGGTCTGCCCCATAAAAGGCAAAAATCTGATGAATAAAAGAGCTCTATAAATAATCTAACATTCCTCTCCCTCTATGAGAAAAGTGACTCAGCTTTTGTGCACTTAGCACAGCTGAATGAAAAAATAAAGATATCAAAATTTAATGCAATATATAGACACATACACTATAGAAATGTGAAATTTAATACTAAATGAAGTTAAATCACTGAGTACTATCACATGTCTATCTATCAGCAGGAGCTGACTACTGTTACCGGTAATTCTCCACTCATGGAGTTAAAGGGTTGAGTCAACCCTTTAACTCCATGAGTGACCAAGACAGAATTTCTCCTTACAATATCAATGCAATATAAACCAGGTAAGTGATGAGAATAAAGAAAAATATCAATTTGGGGATAATTGGTTGATCTGCTACTAAATTCTCTGAACTAAAATTAGAAGAATTATATGATTTACAGTAAGGAGAACTAAAATTTTGATCTGGGAGTTAAAGGGTTAAAATATCTAGACAGACTTAAATGGTTAATTCATTTACATTTTAACTAAGTTTACCTGGATAACTGATAGACAAGTAAATTGTAACCAACATGATGATAAAAGTAATTCGCCAAGACTGCCACCTAAAAAATATCAATAAAATTTTTATATAGTATAAATAATGATATTATTAATGATTTTATATGGTATTTTACTCTGTAATACCATATAATTATACCTGTTGAAATGTAAACATTGTATAACTAACTTACAGGACCCTTTTTGATACTAGTGTCATTACACTGGTGAGGTTATCTTGTGTAAAAATGTACATTACAAAATTGCACACTTCTGATTGGCTGACAACATGTGCATTCCCATGTAACACAAGTGCAAAGCTGTAACACAAGTGCAAAGTTGTAACAAGGGTGCAAAGTTGTAACATGAGTGCAAATTACAAATAGCATGCACACCCTCTAAAAATTTCATCTGTCTTGACTTTCTGTGATGTATTTTCATGTATATTATTAACAAGTAATAAGTGAAACATGATTTGGAATACCATTTGGTGTTAATAGGCAGTTGTAAATTTTTCAAAGACTACAAGTTGCACTTGCCCTACCTATACAAATATTATTATTATTTCTGTTATTAAGATTAGTTCAACCTCAATTAAACCATCATATTTTAAGAGGTCACCCTTTATCAGCCAGTTACCAATCAAATTCCCTGAAATAATTTCCCATCAAGAGATCATGAGTTCAGAGAAGATGCTATTTATAGAAGTTGGACAGTAATAGAGCTCTTGGAGAATTATACATGAAAGTGTAATAATAATGTCATTGATAAGCAATAATCTTTAAAAAATTAGTTTTAAACTAATTGAGGAGTTACCAATTCAGAGAATGGCATTGACTCCATTTTTAAAGGCATTAAACATTAGTGCCACTTTAACCATATGAAGCTACAAGCATGACCACATGCTGAAAAAACTCACATCTTTGGAATTCCTTTGGCCAGTAAGTCCTAAAAGCAGTATGTTTCTTATAAAATACAGAAGGGATTAAGGCTAAATCCACTCAGGAGATGAAGAATCATCTTGTCTATATGAAACCCTTCCAGTACAAGCTAACATAACTCAGCTGTGAAAACCCAGATCCTTAAGTGACTGATTCACAACATCAAAAGAGAAAAGTGAAAAGGAGGGTGAAGAGGATTGCACTCAGGCTGTTAAACTTTATATTGTCAATATCACCCACAACTCTTCTTGTGGTGTTTTAAGGTCAGCCCTCACCTAAACAATATCACTTATTGAGCAAGTAATCATTCTACATTCTTCTATTATAAGAGCTATGCAGGTGATATTTTTTGTGGGAGTTATAACAAGACATTGTCTGATTTGAGTTTATATGTAGTGTATTAAGTAATAACATAATTTTAATTGCAATTTAGTCTTAATAAGCATGAATAAATCCCATAGAGCCAAAGCAATTTGTAGTCTGAAAAATTTACAAGTGCCTACTAACACCAAATTGCACTCAAAATTACATTGTTACTTATTAATAATTAGCATGAAAAAACCATTACAGAACGTCAAGGCAGACAAAATTTTGACAACTTAGGCATGCTATTTGTAATTTGCACTTATATGTTACAACTTTGCTCTGACATGTTACATAAAAAATGCTTTCCTTTTGAGCCAATCAGAATCAAGTGCTTTTTTCCAGTGTATTATTAGTATCTAGGTAACAACATGAGTTGCTCACATAAATTGGCTACCCTAAAGAGTTTCAAAGCTGACATTTCTAGTGTTAGCCCCTTTTCAGAGGAAATGGAGGAATTGTGGGTTGTGTGTGTGTTGATATGCAGAAAATGGAGCTACACCATTGGTGGGAACATGGTGACAAGAAAAAAATGATAAATCAGTTAAATGGAAAGCACTCTTTAGTGCTGATATGAAAGATAAATTCTGTTCTAGAGTTTTGCAGCTTTCGTAGCTACCTAAATATATGGAAAGGCCACAAACTGCCATACGCTGCTTGGAACAATTACTAGGGAGATTAAAATGTCTAGCGACTCAGTGGTTTGGATGTGTTTTGAGCGTTCAAGCCCTTAATGTCAGAACAAACACTAATGCTCGAAGGTCTCCTTTTTAACCCTTTATGGTGGCAAATTTATGTTATCAACTCAGTTGATAAAACTAAATTACCCTGTTATACTCTCCCACTGATGGGAGAGTATACAACACAACTTTATTTGCACCTGTTTTCAGCCATCCAGACACATAATTTTTTCATGTACATTATTACATGAAAATGCACTTGTTTACAACCAATCAGACTTGCATTATTTTTTCATGTATATTATTACTAACAGTAGAAATACAGAGAGCTTTAGAAAATGATAGTTTTGAGAATCACAGTAACAAACATAATTTTTGGGTACAGCAATAGATGGAAAAGTGAATCTTGGGGAATATTCTCAGTTAAGTTTGGGAACATGGAAAACAGGCATTGATATCGTTTCTGTGGTCACGACAGTTACCCACTGTAACATATTAGCACATGATAATTATCACCTATTGTAAGTTATATTGTGTACATGCATATTCAAGTAAGTCAGCACATTATGCAAAAGCACACAGAACACACACACGTGGTGTGCAAGAGTCGAATGCAAGAAAGTCTTCAATGTTATATACATTGCATGGTAGCAGCAGTTTACAAGGATAATTTCTAAAGTTAAATCAAGAACTAGAGAGGCCAACAAAAGCGAATCATGACAGCAGCATTACCTCTTGCATAATGCCACAGATTGACTGGGACACTCCTGATCCAAAAAATGCATTCTCAAGGTTCAAACAAAAATGTCAGCTTATATTTTCAAGCGTTCTCAAAGACACCGACGACAAAGAAAAAGTAAGCTATATTCTACTCTGGTTGGGAGAAGAAGACCTGGATATATACAACAGCTGGACATTCACAAAGAAGGAGGACAGAAAAAAGCCTGCCATTATCTTCGAATAGTTCAAGAATAAACTGGAATCAAAGACAGGTCATCAAATTCACAGATATATAATACAAAGAATATGACAAGAGCAAGGTGAGCCACTGGACGATTTTATTTCAAAACTAAAAATTCTAGCGGCAAAATGTCAATTTCGTGATAATGCTGCAGTCAAAGATAGAGTTTTAGATCACCTTATTTGGGGGTCTAGAAATCCTGATATTCAAAAATCTCTTATAAGCCAAGATAAATCACTGACCTGTGCAGCCGCTATTGAGATTGCAAGGAGCTACAAGGTGACAAGTAAACACATGAAAAAACTAGCAGGAAGTAGTAAAAGCTATCAAGAGGACAGGAGTATTGATGCCATTCATACAGAAAAAGAAAGGGAATTCTGTGACAACTGCAGAAAACAACACCCAAGGAACAAATGTCCAGCTTACAGTACGTCATGTTTAAAAATGTGGCAAAGCTAATCATTGGCAATCTGTCTGCTGGACTAGCAAATGGAAACAATTCAACCAAAGAACAAAGCCAGTCTTCAAGAAAGTGATTCACACAATCAAGGACAGGGCGACGATGATGACAATGAAATCCTGATAATCAGTACCATCAAGGTCAATGCCATGGAAGACACACAACACTCGATACACAATACATGTGATGAAGCCTTTGCAACACTTGAGATAACTCAGCCAGACAAGAAGCAGAAAATTAATCCCCAGAGAAAGGTAGACACAGGTACACACAGCAATGTTTTGCCTATCAGACTACTTTACATAATCCCCTTAGAGAAGTTTAACAACAAAGGAAATCCCAAACCAGAAACACTGGAAAAGAATGAAGCTGTCCTTTCAGCATATGGCAGCTCTATAATCAAGCAGCTTGGCACCATAAATATTCCTTGCAAGTACAAAGAGAAGAGGATCAACTGCATTTTCTATGTCACAGACCCTTCAGGGCTAGCAATTCTCAGTCTAAAAGCATGCACTGCACTGAAGACTAGTCTCCCTACACTGTACACTCAGAGCAAATCAACTAGACCAGGCCTATCCAACTAACAGCTTCAATGTTTCAGCTCAAAATTGAGATACTAGCAAGAAAAGCCCAAATTACATCGGAAGCCATGCACCACTGAAAGAACGGCCACCAATCAGAAATAAACAAGAACTGATAGAGATATACCCAGAATGTTTCAATGGCATTGTTGGATGCTTTGACGACTATATGTATCACATCACATTAGATCCCTAAGTATCATCAGTGGTCCACGCACCCCACAAGGTGCCCATAGAGTTGAAAGACAAACTACAAGTCAAACTAAGTGAGATGGAAAGCCAAAATATCATTGCAAAAGTAACATAACCCACAGATTGGGTAAACTCCTTGGTTATTAGAGAAAAAGGAAATGGGTGACTTCGTTTATGCCTTGATCCTAAGGACCTGAATAAGGTGATCAAAAGAGAGCATCATCCTATACCCAGTTTAGAGGAAATAACACCCAAATTAGCAGGAGCAAAGCTCTTAAGCAAGCCTGATGCTCACAATGGCTATTGGAATGTCAAATTAGAAGAAGAATCTTCATACCTAACAACTTTTAATACACCATTTGGTTGATACCGTTTCCTTAGGATGCTGTTTGGCTTACAAATGAGCCAAGATATTGTTTAATTCAAGATCAATGAGACATATCGTGATTGCCAGGGAGCCATTGGCATTGCAGATGACGTTACAATTTACGGAAAAAATGACAAAGAGCATGATATACACCAACATGACACCATAGAACATACCAGAAAAGCTGGCATCAGGCTCAATGACAAGAAGTGCATTATCACAACAAAGGAGTGCAATTTCTTTGGTATGCTTTACACACCAGATGGTGTCAAGCCCAGCCCAGACAAGGTCAGAGCCATAGAACAGAACAGATAGAACAGATCCACAAAAAGAATCTGATGCAAGCACCTCCACATCTTCAAAGAATGATGTTACATCTACAACCCTATGACTGCATTGTTAAATATCTTCTAGGAAGAGAAATGGTCACAGCTGACACCCTGTCACACCTTTCACCATTAGATGAATTTGAAGTACCAGATATGAATGTGAAAATTCACCACCTAATTAGAATCACCCCAGCTAAAATGGAAGAGTTCAAAGAAGAAACTGCAAAAGATGAAACCTTACAGCTTCTATCCCATCAGGATATACAAGGTTGGCCCAATAGAATGAGGAAAATTGACCCGCACTAAAACCGTACTGGCCCCCTATGAGATGACATTTCAGTAGAAGATGGGCTGATACTTCTTGGAAGCCGTGTTTTAGAACCTGAGTCCTTGAGAGCAAATCCACAGAGGGCACTTTGGTATAGAAAAATGCAAGCTACGAGCCAAATCCTGTGTTCACTGGCCAGGCATATACAAAGAAATAGAAAATCTCATGAACTCATGTAGCACTTGCCAGAGATATCACAATTCCCAACAAAAGGAGCCCATGATGCCATCAGAGATCCCTTCAAGACAATGGAAAACAGTGAGCGCAGATCTGTTCTATGAACAACAGTTGTGGTTCCTCATAGTTGTCGACTGCTACTCAAGTTCCCATTAGAGCTAATGAGAGAAAAATGCTATTCGCAGAAAATGGAATCCCAAAATCTCTTCAATGTGACAACAGTACTCAATTTACATGCGGCGTGTTCCAACAACTGGCAAGCCAATATGGTTTTGAAATTGTGATATCATCCCCCCACTACCCGTGTGGCCATGGGTTCATTGAACACCAAGTCCAGATGGTTAAGAAAATGATCATGAAATGCAGAGAGAATAAAGAAGACATAGATTTAGCTCTGTTGGCTCTACAAACAACACCCCTCAGCTCCAATATACCATCACCATCTGAATTGCTGAATGTTTAAATCCACACTTCCTGGTAAGATTCAGCCATCAAAGAACCAAGAAGAAGTTAGAAATCAGCTCAAAGTGAGACAAGATAACCAGTGCTACTATTACAACAAGCACACTAAGGAACTCCCTGAACTACACAGGAACCAAGCCATGTATGCACAAGATCCCATGAGAAAGACATGGAATCCTGCTAGAGTTGTAGATCAGGGAGATACGCCCCACTCATATATTATAGAAACTGAAACTGGTGCTCAGCTACAAAGAAATAGGATCCATCTTAGACCAAACAATGCTTCCAAAAACCTAGTAAACAATTTGTTGAGTTGCATTTCTCAAGGAAGTATAACCTCAAACTCCTCAAGTGCCAATCCACAATGTTCCACCTTAACAGAAACCGGATCCAAGAAGGGTCCAAGAAAATCTCACTCGGGACGTGAAATTCGAGCACCGGAAAGACTTAACCTCTGACTCTCGCACTAGTAGTATTATTTTTATATTATATAGTCATAGTAGTATGATTAGTATCTTTTAAATGTATACAAGATACTTATATCTTATACATTGGCTCGAACATGTGTTTTTTTGTTGTTTTCGTTTGTTTCCGGTTCAATTAACATAATTTAAGAGAAGGGGATGTAACATAGCACGTGATAATAAGCATGTAAGTTCCATCGGGTGTACGCATATTTAAGTAAGCCGGTACATCATGCAAAAGCACACAGAGCACACGTATGCGGTGTGCAAGAGTCGAATGCAATAAAGTCTTCGATGTTATATACATCGCACTCACCTGATCACAAATAGTAAACTTTCATACCACTTTATCAATGGTATCACCAGCTGACACAGTTTTCTGTGGTTAAGGACAAAAGTACCTATATCGAAATGCTCTACGCTTCTCTCTTCCTCCATGGGTTCTTCCATGCAGGCCTCCATGAAGAATTCTATATTTTCATGGCACTCTTAGTGGCCCGTAGACATTTACTGTGTGGTTTGCTATATGGGCTGTCGTTTAGTGTTTATCTAAACACCTACTCGCATTATGAACAGCGGTAACCTGTAACCTTCGTTTACCCTTTTGTGTACCCTTATCCCTCGATCATCACTGTGAGATGACATGATGGTCTACGGTGGAGTGTCGCCGAAAGTCATGTCGCCCGGAACCTAAGTCACATCGCCCGAAATTTTAGAAACCGCTGAGGGCACCGATCCATCGAAACACCCTCCAGGTGTATTTACTTCCGTCAATCCTTCAGTATTGAAATGTCACTATAAATGCGACCTGATTCAAATATTCTCAACCAACACAAACGATGTTTATTTAATTCAACGTACGATCTGAAATAGCCTTTCGAAAGCGTTTAACTAGTCATTACAAGAGCTCTCAGCCGCAAGAATTTGGTCCGATGGGTTTCAGGCCGCGACCGAATAAGTAACACATCGCTATTCTACTCGTCCTCTTATGGAGGCCAAACGGTATGTTGTTCGGTCCATACCAGCCTCTCAGGTACGATTCTGCCAAAGACCACAATCGTCCAATTGGAGGACTTGTTGGCGCGATCTAACTTCATTGTCACACTCGACACAAGGATGATTGCTCATTTTGATTGGTTCATTGATTTTATATTTTAGCTAGCTTTTTTAGAATGATATGGGCGCTTTAAATTTATCTTCTCTATATGTTCTTTAATCTGATCAAGACATACATGCGATCGCTAGACGGAACGGAGCACGACTACATAATTCATGCCTATTCTGACCCTAAGGAAAATGATGATATCAGACCACTATCGTTAAAAAAGTCACGAGCATAAACAGTAGACTGTTGTCTTTAAAATATCACACTCACCTTGCACAAGGCGCTAAGTAATTTGTTATTGAGAAAGATGTTTTTCGTCTTGTCACGAGCGTGGGACAAAGAAAAGATTCTGAGTCCCCTTGAGGAATCGAACCTCAGACCTTCGGATTCCGCGCTATTGTTATTGTTAAAAAGTTCAGATAAAGATAAAACATGACCTTTTTTGTATGTTACTCGCTTGACTATTGACAAACTTGTCGAACGCGACAATCGACATCTCTTTACCGGTTTTTTTTATTTGTTATTGTTAGGAAGGTCACAAATAGACTCAACGGAACTTTAATTGAATGTTACTCGCTTGAGAACAAACCGATTCACAGCGGGTACGAATAGACAGGCTACGAACCGTCCGTGGGTACGAAACGAATGATTACCAAGCAGACAGTGCAACGCTGCATTTTTTTGTTATAGAAAGAACAATGCTCACTGTGTTTTTGGAAACGAACACTGCTTTAGAGTCGTTACTCAAACGTATTTCAATTCTGACTACCGTATTTACCCTTGTATAATGCGCACTTTCTTTCTACGAAAATAACCATCAAAATCGCGGTGCGTATTATACACGGTTTCTATTGTTTTTCAAGTACGTCCTAATTTGCATACGTTAAAAACACAAGAAAGAAAGTAACAAAAGCCATGTAGTAATTGGTCTTTATTGGCTTGAGTTAAATAATCTACCGATGAAACATTTTCAATTTCGATCCACAAACACAACAAAGAAAGTAACGAAAGTCTCGTAGTAATTGGTCTTTATTAGCTTGAGTTAAATAATCTACTGATGAAACATTTTCAATTTCGATCCATAAATAAATTTAGTAGAGTATTTAAGAAACAGCTGACGAGATAAACATTACGATCGTACCGTATTACTGTAATCACAAGCGATAAGAAATTCGAAATGGTAACGAAACTTACCACTGCAAAACGTCAGTTGTAGGAAGAATTAACGTTTTTTTTGCTCTGAAAACTTTTGTTTATGAAAAATTTGGTCAAAAATCGGGGTGCGTATTATACATAGGCGCGTATTATACTCGGGGAAATACGGTATATGATCGTTTTTAAAAGTCTTCATGGTGTTGTTGGAAAGCAACACCGCTTTAGTTTGATTTAGTGGTAAAGTTTCTCAAGTTTACGAAACGTCCGTGGGTACAAAAGGGGTGAATACCAAACAAACAACCTTTGATTTCGTGGTTAGAAACGAACAACGCTTTTGGAGTCGTCACCCGAACATACTTCGATCATCATCCCCATGGTGTTTTTGAAAACAAATAACGTCTTAGTGATAAAAATTTCTCAGCCTAACAACCTATTTACAACCTATTTAAGTCTGACCTTTGAGGTATTTGTTTCTTCAGGTGACTTGACCTTTTATTTCCGGCGACTTGACTAAACGTTTGGGTGACATGACTTTGGGCGATTTGACCGGTTACCGACGTGACGAGCGTAAAAGCCTCTCACCGTGAACAGTGTCGGTTATATTAGGGGAGACATAATTTCATGGGTGCTTGATGGGGCAAGTAGCTGGGTTTCGGTCTTGCATAATCGTAGCCCGTGCCAGGCTGAAATGGAAGGCGAACGAAAGAAAAAAGAGAAGGCTGGGAATGAAAAGGGGCGCAAATTTTTTTTTCCAGGAACGCAAAAACGCCTGTACTCAGTTTTGCGTCCCTTGTCCCCAAACCAGAAGGGAAAATCTTCAAGGCCAAGAACAAAAATTACCGAAATACATTTGTCTTTAAACAGAAATCATATTCAAAATTTTCTTTTTGAGGAAGATTAAGCGAACTCACTTGCCAAGTTGTTACCGGTCAGTTCAATAAGCCAATCACATTCAAAGTTGTGGCTTAAATCAACCAATCGCATTCGAAGTTGTAGTTTAAAGCAAATTTTCCATTTCTTTCATAACTTGGCTGTTCTTCTAAACTCGTGATAAACAAATCGGACTCCCACTGCGTGGTCGTCCGATTTGGATATCACTCGGCGTATGATTTCAGACCGAATTGGACTCCACTTAGTCCTGTTTCCATCACTGACTGGAATCCCTTGGAATTCTAATTAAGTCGTCAAGGTCGAATGGCGTACGGTCAAAATTGGACAGAACAGTCCAAACTCAGTAAGAACCCCGGACACACTCCCTCACTCGGCCTTGGCGCGTATTTGTGGGATCTTGAGTCCTGGATAGGCCAATAGTTCGTCAGCTGGAAAATCACTTACAGACTCCCCGAGCCGACTGACTCTCCTTCGAATGAATAGGCTTTTTTTCGTCTATGACGAAATCAGATGGGATGGTCCGGAAAAGGAGTGAGCGTCCGAAACCGGGTGGAACTGTCATGGGAATTAATTTTAGTTGCTACCAATATTTTTTTTCTACGTGTGAGTTCAGTCTATATTAGCCCGCTTAGCTGGCAATTTCTCGTGCGCTCGATGAAAACGACGACGAAAACTTTGAAGGATTCCCAGAAGTATCCTTCTTGAAATAAAAAAGGTCAGCCAATTACAGACTGTTGCTCGACGTTTCCCTACAAGTTAAGTCCCAGTTAGCTTTCATCCTCTCCTTGCATCTCCTCTGATTTATCGCGGGCTCTAAATGGTAATTTATGCATAAAAAAATGGCCACCCGAGAGATACGTAATAAATTAGATGAGCAGAGGCAGTATCGCAAAGACCGCGGCCGACACGACCGCGATGCGAGAGAGCATTGTTCTTCGGTAAGAAAGAAAAGAAGAATGAACCCTGATTTTGTGGAGAAATGGGACGCTGCTGCCTTAAAGGTAATGTAACAGAAGAGTTGTTTTAGACAGTTTTGCGCGGACTGTGGCAAATGAAAAAGTTAGAAGTTTAACTGAACCCCATATTTTATCGGCACCATGTAAGCGTAAGCAGGAATCTTGTTATTCTCTTATAATCATGAAATGTGTTATAAAAAGAGTAGTGGTGAGGTGATTAACCAAGATTGTTGCATGGTGGATTTGTCAAATTCAAGCTTGTAAGCGGACTGTTGCCCGTTCAGGTCGAATAAACACATCAGAATAATCACGGCTTCAAACTCGCGTGACACTATTTCAGGTCTCAAGGGACGGCTAAACATTCGCCTTCACAAAAGGAACATGTCTTATCACAACGTATCGAAAGTGATAACCTACCTCATCGGGAACTTGTTAATTTTTTTTTTCTTCTGTATCAAGGTGAATTGATTTAGAATCTGGCAGCGATTTCTTCTTAGCTTTTAACACTTGAAATACATTGTGCAAGCTCTTTACAAACAATTGGACGATGTAATGTTTGAGGTTGTATGTGTACAGAGAAATACATACACACGTCTTTCTTGCCACAAGTTAAGATATTTGGATTTAAGGCATGTTGGTGGTTAATAAAATCGCACTGTAAATTAAAACATTTTCACCCAATTTCCTGTGTAATTAAAACTCTCATCGACTTCGTATATATTATAGCATCACCTGAAATGCTCACGGTATCAATTAGACTTAAAGCAGAATTGATACTGCTCGCGATTAGGTTCTTCTGGCAGACCCATCGTTTCTTTCTTTGTCATTGATGTCAAAATTACTAATGTAGAGTAATTTGAAGGAAGTCGAAACGGCTTAAAAAAAGAAGACGTTTCTGCCTCGCTCTGACTTGTTTATGTATTGTCATGTCATCTTCAGCTGTTGTATTGTTGGTCTGAGTGCGCTGCTCCACGTTAAAGGCATGACAGGTTCACCATTGCTTCTCGTTCAGACCCTCTAATTTATAGTCTATCAGCTGTAGGCAAATCGTTTTGCTTTCGATACCCTTTTCTAGGCATTAAAACGAATTCGTGAGGTAAATAATTCAACTAATACACCCAGCGGCAATACAGCTCTCTAAGATTGTTGTTAAATATATCAAGCTTGTTTTATTCCACAAACTACTTAGCTTCCGTGTTACGGTTCCTCGTTCCAAAGCAAAACAAAATTAGTTTACATGTAGCTTTCAGCTTTTTTTTTGATATCTTTTCTGTAAATGATGTTACTGTTGAAACTAAAACTTTGCCGAATAGTAAGACAGTGCGTGTTTCAGCTTATATTGGAAACCTTCCGGTTTCGTCGAGTTGTCGTTGAGCGTTTTTTCCATATTTGGCCAACTTAGTGAAGTTGCTTTGATTGAAAAAAAAAGAAAGTGTAAGTTTTGATTGCCTGTGGTGACCAGTGCAGGGTTGTAAACATATTTGAGTTGTTTGTTCTGATTCACTTATAAACTACTGAATCACATAAATTTTTAGCTTTTGCAACCAACATTATCAATTTAGCTATAATTATTTATAATCTGTTAATTTTACATGCCCTCCAGCGTAACAATATTTTGATAAATCATTTCCTAATTATTTCAAGGGTAGGTTTACTTTGGGTGGTTTGTGTGCCTAAATTATCTAAATTGTCAGATAAAGATGTCATGTACATATTCCTTATTTAGGAACAAGTGAATTTTTTAAGTCATGTGGAAAAAAGACTATTTAAAGTTGATAATGCATTAGTTCAATATAAAAGCTGTCCTGTGGTTAAGGAAATTACATTTGCATTTGAGTACCCACCACACACATGTTCTAAAAGCACTTTTTGTGTATTCAGATCAGCCAACTTGGATAAGAATAGCAAATTACTGTTTACCCAAAAATGCAACTGAGGAGCTACAATCGAAATGGTGTCCTGTATCACCTCAGTTACCGGAAAGAGAATTAATAAATAAACTGCCATTTAGAAAATAACAAAATGGCAAGTTATTGTTTCTAACCCCAGGTTTTGTGGTTAAATATCACATACAATGCCTTGGTTGCATAGCGTGTTCAGAACTTTGAATTAAGAGTGAAGATAAAAGCACTTGATGTTCAACAACATGTTTTCAACAAGATTCCAAAGCTTAAGAATTGTCTGTAAATGGAGAGGTGTTACATAGAGAATTGAAACTATTGCCTATAGGAGTTCTCCTTATTGGTAAGAAATATAGGAAGAGAAGAATTTGAATAAAAAGATATTGTTTACCCAAATTTCAACGCTGTATTGCATGCACCAATTTGGTATTTGGCCATTTCATAGTAAATGTCAGAAATGAGGTTACTTACTTAATCTCATTATGTGAAATTGTGCTGGATTCCTAAACAAATGATTGCCACAGTAATTAAGACACTTGATTCTCACGAAGCCTCTTTCCACCAAGGAGTAAAGATGGATACTAGCAGACTGTTCGGGAAAGTCCTGAGAAAATGCTTAGGGTTAACCCTGTAATGGACTAGCACTCTATTTGTTTGGAGTGCCACTACCCCTTGTTATTTTCTTCATGCTGCTGAAGCCAGCAAATGTCCCAGTGCTCTGGCAGTATTGGTCTTCTGGCTGATTCATAAAGCTGATTCTGTTCATCCACACCTTACCTTACATGCCCTAGTTGTGTTTACCCAGTAGAATTGTTTTCACTAATTCTTATATATTTAATTGTTGTCAGTGATGATTTTGCTCCATTTAAAGATTATGGGAAGTGCTTCAAATATATAAATATCTTTAGAGCTTTAACTTTCTTCTCCAAGGAATTAGATGACTCAGCAATTCAGGAAAAGATTGACCACGAGGCACGTATACGAGATGGTATTGTCAGGTTGTTGGCTGCCTGCCATGAAGAGGTTCAAGCACTGGAAACATCCAAAAATCTTCTTACAATAAATGCTCGTATCCTGGCACTGATGGGACTGCTGCAAAGACACAGAGCAAAATCTGTGATGCTGAGAAAAGGATCCAGGTACCTTCAATAAAATTTGGAACAATTAATATGACAAACAGTGTACCATTTAGTTGCACCATAAAAACAAAGATGTTCCTCTCTTTGATTGTCTGTGACTGGGTTTTCATCCAGGCTTATTTCTTTGCCTGATCTGATCTCCCAGACCTTGAGTGAATCTTTCAGTCTTCCATATAGATTGGTAAACCTTCAAGTTAAAAGTACATTTTGATAAGTATGTCACGATTTAAGATCACGTTCAAAATCCATATTTCAGATTATAATTTTCTTAGATTTTTAAGTGTTATTGCCACAGTATAATAACTACTGAAAACAAAAAATTTCAGGGGCATAAATGCTACCTTAAATTTAATTCCAAATTCTGCAAACCATGTACTCTTACCATTGAGGATCACTTTGGAACTAGCTGTAACTTGACACCTCAGACTAGGAATATGCCTTCCACACATAATAGTTTGGATATAGATATGGTTTCAGAGAGGTGTATGGGACCTTGCATTAATGGTTGAGTGAACCTAGAAAAGCTAACCAAAGTCTTCCTTGTCTGGGAACTTTTCACAGATTTTATGAGAAAGTGATGAGGTTGGTTGTTAAGTGGAAAAATATAAATGCCCTGGGCATATGGACTGTGCCTTTTGTGTCCTACTGAGTTTGTAATGGATATGTAAGCAGTGGCTAATTTTACCTGTTTGTGATCTCTAGTTCATCATTTCCTTTTGACTTGGATGATAATGCATCACCTTGCAAAGGAATACTTTCTCTCTCAGGTAATATTTTTTTTAAATTCATGTGTTAGTTATCTTGAGAGGGATACACTATAGACCTGGCTTTTGCCTAAAATGCATGAGTATTTAATCTGGATTTAAGCTGGATTTTGGAAATGTTACCTGGACCTGAGCCTGTACCAATTCTCCACACATTGTGTATTTATATGCTAATACAATGTGGTATCTTTCTCTCTCGGTATCATGGATCATTGATACCAACAAATGATGGGGGGAGATAAGAATTGTTTCTTTTAGCAAAAGATGCAGTACTTAGCAAATCAGAGTCAGTTAACAATATGTGATGACTATAATAATGACAAGCTAAGCTGCATGTACAGCTAGATAATTAGGTTTTTTCAACTGAGTTGATGATGTAAATTAGCCACCGCACAGAGTTTCTAAGCTGACATTTCAAGTGCTAGCCCTTCATCAAAGCAAGTGGAGGAATGTGGGTGGGGAGTGTGTTTGTATGCAGAAAATTGAGCTATGTTTTTGGTGGGAACACTGAAACAAGAAAAACAAGAATAAATTAGTTCTAGTGAAAAGCATAACATGTACAGCTGTATTGGTAGTGTCCTATTCCCATTGTCCATTGTGTTTGTTTGATCTAAATAGTGGGCTCCCAGGGAATCAATTTTGTAATTTTGGGTACATTTACTTGTTTGATTCCTCAGACATTCGTGTGCCTCTCATGTGGACTCAAGAAGATCACAATAAAACAAAAGCAGGTATAATTATTTTGATTATTATTATTTTTGCTATTATTCTCAAATCGTTTCTACAGTTTTTCTGGTATGATTGAAGTTTCAATTTGTCACATTTTATCACTTTAGATACTTTTAAATACATATCATCTTAGACTGAGTTGCACTTAGTCCCGCAGCAAAAAAAAAGTTTTCATGAGCACTGAAGAAAACTTTCTTCACTATGAGGGAAATCAAAATCTTCAAAAGTGAAGGAAGTAGAAATTGCTCAACCTCCCTGAGTAAGGGCAAGGAAAAAAACTGCTTTAAGTTTTAAAATGTGTAAATCATTCTTTCAAAGACCATAAAATGGAATGGGTATGTAAATTAACTCAAATGGTTCATCATTTCCTACTATTTTTGTGCAAGATTATCTCTGAAGTTTCCTGAATTTCAACATTTTCTTTCCTAAAGTGATCATGATGTTTTGGTCAATGATTATATATTTATAATCCTTAGAACAACATCTCTATTATGTGTTCTGCCTACTGAAGCTTGATGGTCAAGTTTTGGACACAGCTCTTATGGAAACAGATGAGTCAGAGACAGACATTCCATTTGACAACATTATTGTCTTGTAAGTTCTGTTTTATTATAATCCCTCCTCTTTGACTCTGCCTTGCAGATTTTACCAGAGTTTTCAGACAATTATCCTGACCCTGTCTTCAAAATTAAGCTGTCTGACTACCTGCCAGAGTTTGAACAAATGAGTTGTTTGTCACAGTTAATAGATTAAGTTAATAGATTACTTACTTAGATTAATACAGTTAATAGATTAAGCATACTGAGTGGGCCATGACTCGCATGTACACTGCACACAACCTGTCAACTTTTACCTCTTCACTTCCTCAAACCAAAGTCTCACAATTAAGGAAGACAAGAATCTTTGTATTCTCATGGAGGAATATTTTTAATTACATGCAGCCATCTTGATGCATTGCAATATCTCTATTTTACTTCTTAAAGTTGAATGTTGTACAGTAGAATTTGATCACTTTCCATTTTGTTTAGAGTTCAATTCACCATTTTCAAGTGGTGGTCTACCTGTTCCTTGAGTTTTGTGTGATGATGGTATCAGATTAAAACCAGTGTCTGAATTGTAATTTTTTTTGTCCAATCTTAGTGAAAATGTGAGCCATGACTTCAAGCTGGATATAGAAATTTACTACACTGTTTCATCAGATAATGCAGCAAACAGAGCTTCAGGAGTGAAAAGGCCATTACGAAGAACTCAAGCGGGCCACGAGGTCCCCAAATTTATACTTGCAGGGCATACACAACTGACAGTGGATCACCTTCATCAGAGGATCAAATCACATGACCTCAAAACAGGTACAGTGTATATGTAGGTAATTTAGTGTTAACAACTAAGTTAAAAACGTACGTTGACCACCGTAAAGAGTTTAAACGCTGACGTTTCAAGCGTTAGCCCTTCGTCAGAGCGATTGACAATCGCTCTGATGAAGAGCTAACGCTCGAAACGTCAGCCTTTAAACTCTTTACGGTGGTCAATCTACGTTTTGAACTTAGTTGTTAACACTGAATTACCTGTCATACTCTCCCACCGACGCAGCACCACAGTTTCTTGAGAAACTTACCCCTTTATACAGTAGTATGGTTAGCATTATTGTCAGGCTTGCACAGCTACTATATAGTTTTGTAAGAAATTTTGGCAGTAGCGGTTTTTGTAACACATCCCTGACCCAGACTGGACACCCAAAAATCAATGTTTGGTGAATTTCCTAGATTTACACTGAGTGTGTGTGTGTTGCAGATAATATAACTGTGATGAGCGATTGGGTGATTTGGTTCATGCCGTAATGTTACGCGAGTTAAGCGTGGCAGTTTTGGCCTTCTACTCTCTTCAAAAACTATCAGCTCGTGTTTCAATGATTAATAATAATAATAATAATAATAATAATAATAAGCTTTATTTCAACTGATAAGACTAATCAGCAATCTAATAGATTGGCTGGTATGAACTAGTGATCAGCATGATAAATAGTATCAATCAAAATCAAAGGACAAACCCTATAAAGAACTAAAGTATAAATTAAAATAACATAAAATATATAGAAAAGCTAATACTTATTTTAAACTACATAAATGATTAGATTTATCGTGTTCTAAAAAATATTCAAAAACTATCGCCTTAAATTTAGATAAAGACTGTATCTCTCGAATGTCCTTTGGTAAAAGATTCCACTCCCTAGCAGCAGTACATTTAAATGATGTTTGACCCATTTTGGTCTTTGTAGCAACAATGTTCAATAAGGTAGAGTCTCTAAAATCTCTGGTATGAAAGGCTGATCTCTTAAGGAGATAGTTCTCTAATTGCTGTGCTAATTAAGTCTTAGGAATCTACGTCTACTCTCCAATGATAATAAGGAAAGCTTACTACGCATTTCTTGAGAACATGTATTACGATTTGTAGAGAGGATAGTACGCATGGCCTGATTTTGTAACCTTTCTAAACGCTGTGAGTTGTTCTTTCCACAGTCCCCCCATACGATACAGCCATAGTCTACTATGGGTAATATCGTTTGTTTATAGATATTTAAAAGCACCCTTTGACTAAGAAAGGGTGCAATTCTATTTAATATCTTAAGCTTGGGATATATCCTAGAGGCTAAATATGTAATATTCTTGTTCCAGCTAAGAGTATTATCTATATAAACACCTAAATATTTGAAGTCTTCACACTGTTTCAGTAGCCTCCCATCCATAATGATTTGTAAGTCTGGAGCATTTTTCACTGCGTCTTTTGATCCAATCAGGATTGCTTCGGATTTCTTGTGATTGCAGATAAGACCATCAGTACTGAGCCGATCGGTAACTCTTCCAAGATCTTCATTTACATACTGTTCAGCAATTTTAACCTCTTTAGAGCTGGTGTGAATTCCTGTATCGTCGGCGTACAATACAATATCACAGCTATCACAAACGTCTGAAATGCTATCTATATGAATATTAAATAGAGTCGGGCCTAGCACAGAACCCTGCGGTATTCCATAGGTAATCGTCAATTGTTCGGAATCAGTTCCATCACATGAGACAAACTGGAGTCTTCCAGACAGATAGCTTTCAAACCACTCATGTTCCTTGCCAGTCACACCATGTTGAGCAAGCTTCTGTAGCAAGACATTATGGTCTACAACGTCGAAGGCTTTCTTTAAATCCAAAAACGCACATACTACTTTTTCTGATCTGTCAATAGCCATTTTCCATGAATCTACAGCTCGAATTAGGGCAACCATAGTTGATGAATGTTTCTGTTTTATCAGACCAGCTTCTTGTGCATAATTAACAAGGGCCTTATTTGTAAGAGATTCATGTATCTTAGAAATACACGGAAGCACAGATATTGGTCTGTAATTATCGCATTCTGCCTTTGACCCCCCCTTAAAAACAGGACTTACTTTTGCGATCTTCCATGCAGATGGGTATCGGCCACAATTGTACGATTGCTTAAATATCTTGGTTAAAGTTCCACTAATGTGGGGTGTAGCGATCTTCAAATACTTAGCCGAGATGTTGTGTTGCCATATACACATCTGAATCCAATAAAGGTTTAGGTAATAGGTAATACCAGACTGACGTTCTATTTCGCTTTAAGGTTTGGTTGGAGCAAGCCCTTTAGCATCCACTGTATCTACTGAGGATTCAAACATGCCAAGACTAGCTTTATGGGGCCAGATTTGTTGTCGTCTTGCTGCTAGACCTGCTTGTGTTGAACAAGTCCGTATGGATGGTTTTCTTGAACTACAGGTACGGTCGAGTAATTAGAGCCTGACACCTTAGTACTCAGTCAAATGTAAAGCTGCTGTCGCTGTAATTAGGGTTTCAAAAGAACCAAAGAAATTAATCCAATCTACATGTATATCTTCATGAATGAGAGTAATTCTTCTTGATTATCGGTGCAAATACGTTGTAAGTATAAAAGCCTCACCACAAGTTTAGTTGAAAAACCCCTGCTAGTACATTAAAAGAAATTTTACTTGTGGCAGGTTCTGTTTAGATAAACACCACAATTCTATGTTGATTATTTTCAGAGAATGACTTGCAGTCAGTTTTCATGGTGTCGGCTCTGGTGTGTTTTGAGACATGCGACAATCAAGTGCTGGGACTGTAAAGAAGACTCCAATCACAGAGATCCCGTAGAATGCATAGAAATAAAACCTGTAAGATGCGGTATCGCTACATATACATATTTTAGTAAACGATTCTGTACGTCTCATCAGTGACTGTATTTATCGAGCCCTAGACTTATACTTGTGGATGTAGGTTACCGGATACCCTCAGGTGTCTTACGCCAAGACATATCTCGTCTTCTCATCTTCCGTTTAGCGCATAGAAATAAAAGCAAGCTCTGCATTTTGCTTGGTTCTCAAAATGCTAATCAAGAAACTGAACCTATTTTTATGATATGGAGTGGAAGAAACTGTCTGATCCTTCAAAAACGTGAAACACGTCAGGAGGCGTCAGCTTGCAAGCTATTTTTTGCTGATCGTGCGTTTTCACACAATCAACCTCCGAAACTAAACCATCAATACAGCGGACATTTCAGCGATTGCAAATTTTTTAGGCTAACATTACAAGGTTACCCACGACAAGACAAAATTATACATAAAAATGATAAAACGGCAGTGAATTCAAACGTACAAGAAAACTGAAAATATATCTGTCGTTTTAATAATCATTTATGTCAATGTCCGTCGCCAGAGTTATTTTTGTAGAGTAAAGTTCTCTAAATGCTATTTATTGATTTGTTTGTTGTTTTTATTCAGAAAATGGATATTACAGACACAGTGAGTCCCACCTTCCATCGTCGCCACATCCTAATACTTACAAGTCAAACACCCGAGAAGGAGCCAGTGTTGGCGTGTAATTCGGACGAAGAGTATGTCCGCTGGAGAGATGCCTTACAGCAGGCTATTCTGGATGTGACAGCTTGGAAAGTTTCCTGCAAACAAGACATGACTATTGTTTACCCCTCAGTGCATAAACTTCCTCCTGTGGAGACAAAAACTTTGTACGACTCGATACAGGTCACACTGTCATCAACTGTTGGTTAGTTTTACTTGTGAGAAAATTCTCTTTAGACGGAAATTTAATTATTTTAGTTCTATTTGGTAACTTCCTGGTACGTATGCGACTGTGAATAATCAATGATTATGGAAAATTTAATAAGTTTAACCCTTTAACTCCCATGAGTGACCAAGACAGAATTTCTCCTTCCAATATCAAAACAATATAAGGCAGAAAAGTGATGAGAAAAAATAAAAATATTAATTAAGGGATTACCAGTTGATCCAATACCAAATTCTCCAAACCAACATCACGAGAATTGTATGATAGACAGTAAGGAGAACTACCAATGACATCTTAAGAGTTAAAGGTTTAATCAGGAAAACGTCAACGGGACAAAACATTCGATCAAGGTTTCAGTCGAAACACATCCCGCGCTAAGTGCATTCAAATTTGCATGAGGCCTCTTGGTTTTGTCAATGTACACAGTTTGTATGGCTGAAATTTAGTCCAAATTGTTGCTATATCTTTTCTCAGCTTGCACTCGGTTGTTTGAAAACATGGTCAGTTATTTTCCATGTATTAACGTTCTTCTTGATGAGTAGAGCTCTTACTAATTTTTCGCTTAGAATACGTAGTGCTCGTTAGCCTTCATAAAAATTATTTTTCTGAAACAAAAAAAGAAAATTTCGGTGAATATTATACGATTTTATGCACCAATCGCGACCAGACAGCCATAGAAAATTTGTTTTGCACTGTAATAGACTGCGTGCGTCATCAATGTTTCCCTCAACAGAACCTTGGAAAGCAGTTGACAAACGAGTCCCTCTAGAGGAACTGAAATCAGTACCAGCGGATTCACCAAGCATCGAATGTACGTATGACATCTGGCAAAGAAGAGTCCCTGAAAATAGAAGCTTCAGAAAGGGAAAGAAAAAAGGTGTGGACGAGAATGTGTTGAACTATGAAACCACAATTTGAATCTGAAGACCTCTGCTGGACGTAAAAACTCCTGATTGTTTCGTGGATCAAAAGAACCCGCGGCTTCAACCCACCTGTTTTACTTTCTTTGTTATTATTAGCTGAGAATATTTGCAGCGCTCAGGAATGAAATTTTAAAAATATTACAGCTTGGAAGATTCATGATTGAGCTCCTGAGTGCTGCCTTTTGTTCTTTTCGTTAACAATGTATGTTGTTTTATCAACAAAGAAATGAACCATATTGTGTTCTGGTTATTTGTATAAAAGTAGCTAAGTGTAATGGAGATAATTGTTTTTGGATTTGAATATAAATGTAAACTTAATTATATAAAATATATATATTTAAATGGTTAAAAAAATTGGCTGAATGTTTCTCTGACTGGACATCAACTAACTTGATGGTGGAGTTTGGCCGCTCGTTACGTGGGAAATGATGGCAGCTTTACTGGTACCAATGAAAAAACGTTAAGTTACATGACAATCCAAGCTATAATTTTTTTTACTTTTTGTGACCAATCAGATAATAAAGATTTTTGTTACAAAGTCTTGAAAGATTATGAGCCCGAGGTGGAATTCTGTGCCTTTTTTTAAACTTATTTTCAAGTTTGTTTCTTAGAGCAGGGTAGTGAGAGAAAGTAAAGTCATTTATTGCTGACCAAACTTAGATTTTAAAAAACTCCTACGTATATGAAGTCACTCTCGCTCTCGATCCAACTCCCTCAATAGAACACGACTAGAACACGGTCTGGTAATGGCGGACATTTAAAAACGACATATCGTGGGTAATAACTCGGCCTACAGCTTCTTTGAGATCCATTGGTTTTTTTGCCAAAAATGAGATCGGACGAACGAGAACGAACAAACGAATAACACTGATAAAAAAGTGTTTTTATCGCGCTTGTGATGACAACGTTTTTAAACGTTACTCGTGAGACAAACGATTAAAATAATTTGTCTTACGAGTAACTCTCGATTTTTCGTATCAACCTATCCATCGCTATTTTGACTGTACAGTGACCGTCCTGTGAAGAACGATTAAACGAGAATCACAGTTTTGTGTCAGGAAGTTACACGTTATAGAAGCAAGTACCAGCCATGGTCAAATACATTCTCTTGCTTTCCTGTTACTCTCATCCGACTTCATGTTGTTACAAATTTTATCATATAGAAGTCGTCTGCAGTTTTTTTCCTATCTTTCACAGGAGAAGTGGTTTTAAGTCGTTTTAAAGCCGCCATAAACAGACATTGAGTGTTGTCGTATCCCTTGTCATGAACGAAAAGTAATTTAATAAACGGGAAGTCAAAATTACGACATAAGATACATATCGTAGTCTCAAGGTCTCATACCGGATATAAATGTATTTTTGACATTTTGTACCGTCTAGCACCTTCACTACGGGAAATAAAACAGGGAGAGCTAAGAAGAACGGGGAATAACCAACGACGAAATTCAACAATAACTTTTAAGGTGGACATTGAGTGCGATGTAAGGCTCTGAAAACTGGTTATGCTATCAAAAGACTAGTCTCTTTAAATGGGAAGCAAGAAGTGCCCGTCAAGCCAACCTGGGGTTAAAAAAGTTGGACCTCTTCCGTAACTGTAGAAATTCACTTAGTTACCAAACGGATGACATCAGTTCTCATCCGTAATTCAGTTGGAGGCGGTTTTGGTTTCCAGCTGATAGAACTCGCATATTTGAAACTGAAAGAAAGAACAGGTCATTCCCCTTCTAAGATACAAGTCATTTTTGTCTTTTGCTGGGGGAAGTCAAGTCAAAACATATTCCGTTTTCAAGCTCTCTGCATATATTGTCTGAAATTAACAGTTTTGCTCGAGGCTCTCCTTAAGTGGTCTCTTGTCGTGCATTTTACGGCAATGAAATAAAAAATGTTATCCTTTAGAGTTTTTGCCAGGAATAACCGGCCGTACTGAAAGATGATTTTCTTTTTCTTTAGAGAGTCAAGAAGGTGAAAGTTATCTTTAGAGATGACTGAAGCTTATTTTTATAACACACTGAACTCCCCACTACAGTTTTGGCTTAAGTCTCCTCGGGGACGAACTCATACATTTGAGAGAGAAAAAGAAAGCTTTGAGATGGAAAACTATTCACTCTTAGAGCCTTTGCCGGGAGTTACCCAGTAGTATTATATAGGGGGGGCTTTTTTAAAAGTGAAAGTTAGGAAGGTGAAAGTTGCCTTCAAAGGCAAAAATTAATTTTGGAACAAATCGAACTTAATTTCCATATAAATTCCCTTTTAGGAGTATTTATATGGTGTGTTTATGTTAACGCTAACTTTTGAAAGTGAAAGTTGGGAAAGCGAAAGTTGCCTTCAAAAGCAAAAATTAATTTTGGAACAAATCGAACGTAATTTCCATATTAATCCCCTTTCAGGAGCATTTATATGGTGCGCTTAAGTCAACCCCAACACTTACTTAATTGTCGACCGTCAGTAAGTAAGCTGATCATGACAATTCCAGAAGCAACTTGGATCGATCTCCTTGATGAAAGAACACCACATTTAATCGAGGAAGTCGCACCAACTAAGCTGCTATACTATTTGAATTTACCAAAATGGGATAAAGAGAAAATCACTTGCGAGGAACGGAATGAAGGACCCGCTTACGCGACAGCGACTCTTCTCGACAAATTAAAGAAACAGAATGGACCAGAGGGCCAAAAAACATTTGACGCGCTCGTTAGAGCTCTTAGAAATATCGGAAATCAACAATCAGCACTACTGCTTGACCCACACTTTAAAGGTAATAAATATACTATGTGGAAATTAAAAGGTAATCATCTTTGAAGTAAAAAGTTGCTTATCAAATCACCTTTAAATGACGCCAGCTCAAGGTATTCCAACTAAATTGCAATATACAAATTATCCTTCTAGTTCCTTCTGCTTTAGAGGAAATCGAAGGTGAAAATTGCTCTCGACTCGGAATTTTGGGTACAGCAGCAGGTATGTAAAAGATGTAATAAGGTTCACCTCTGTTAGAAGTTACAAGCCAAGTTACAGTTAGCCCTTTTATTGGTATAAAACTTTCAGTTAGCCGCTCTGTGGGAAACTCACACAAAGAGAACACGCCGTTGTGCTAAGCTTCCATAGTAGACATGGTAATCTGTTTTAAAATACTCAGACGAGGACTTTTTATTCCATTTTTCAACAATACAGAAATTGGCGTCAGAATCCGTCTAATGAACGAAGAAACAAAAAAGTATTGCGAGAAACTGGAGAACGAAATCTGGAGAAAGTTTCAAGACATCCGATCGGAAAGCACCCTTCAACTGCGTAATCAGTTGCATGCGGTAGGAAACGTTCATAATTGTAAAAAGAATATTTGAAAGATGACAAGGTACATGACAGTTGTTCAGGAGTTTGATATCATCGAAGTATTTTACGCTGCCGTTGAATCTGACACATTACTTAAATAAGGCGCCCTTACAAATGTTCCTCGAGTTCAAAAAGTTTCTGAAATAATTTTTAGGCAAACTAGGTATAAAATGTTTATTACTAAGGAGTTGCTTTGCACTCGCGAGTTGTTTTTAAACAAAGACTGGCGAATTCACTTGGACCACACTGAGTGTAATGCGTGGAGGCCCTAAAGTGACCTTTAGCGGTCCTGGCGGCAACGCTGAGGAAGACGTCGATGAAGAGGTATTCATATTTTTGGTTAGAATTCCGCGAATGATTGGATGTGTTTACCGTCCCTCACAACGCCACACCTCAACTTCAACACAACGTATGTTAGAAGCGTTTAGCTCCAGGTGTAAATTCAAAGAATCTACCGTCGGGGTTTCTGTTCTCAGTCCACGCCCGAGCTGATCTACTGTTCATTAGAACCTCAGCTTCTAGTAATTTCCTTTGCTAAATCGAAACGGAGATATAGATTGGAGACGTGATTTGAGCCTTACCGTTTAATAGCTTTTGGGGAAATGGGCACAGAATCGACTGTTAAACATGTTCGAAACCGTTACACGATGTTGTAGAACATGAAAATATCAATCTAAAGCTTTGGTTTCTGACGCGAACGCCCCATATTTTTTGAGTGAACGTAAATTGATTTGTATGTAAAACGCGGAAAGTGCCACTGCTTTAGCGTGAATCAAAATGAAAATCGGTACTGGGGATTATGATGAATTTTTCCTTCCTTCATGAGTTTCCTTTAGTAAGCCCAGGCTTGTTTCCTCACCACGGGTGCCTTCCATTCGACAAAAATCATCGCCGGTTTTAATATCTCGGACTATCTGACAAACTGTTCCGGAACTTCTTCTCGGTTCCTTTCCATTTCAGACCATAAATCACGAAACTTTTGGCTTAATGTAAAGCCCCACGTGTTATAGTGTAACCACGACATTGACGTTGCTCAGAATTGTCTAATCGATATCTATTGATTTTAAATCAATATTTATTTTGATTCATCATATGATGTGTTCCTTTTTTTTAATTGGGAAAAACTTCACCTGCTTATCTACCTAACAGACTTACGGGACTCACCACAGTTCAAGATTAATTAACTTCATTAATTTCATTGATACAACAGATGATCCGTATCAAATTTGTTTACACAGATAAGCACCACTATTTTACCCATGTGATGTATCTTACCAACGCAGTCTCAATTTCCTTATTCCAGGATTTACCAGAAGGCGCAGCTTTCTCAGCAGTAATTCAAGAAACGAAAGATAAGTTGCCAGCTTGCAAACTTCGAGTGTCTCAGAAGTCAGCCGCTGATCAAATTTGGGAAGATTATGGCAATGGAAAGCTGAGGGCAATTTTGAAAGAAAAATTGCTTCATGGAATAGGTGCTGATAACAATCATCTTAAAATGAGTATTCATATCATGGAGGAGGAATATGAATGGGCGTGTAAAACTTTGGCAGGTAGAATCTTTTTTCCATTTCTTTGGTCATTTCAATGTGATTTTTGAAACTTCTGCTTGCTTTCTGGAACTTGAAGAAGGTGTCATATATTAAGTTGATAACACTTGGACACGACAGTAATCTCAGAATTCATTGAAGTTGTTAGCAGTGGTATGAAATACTGTCTGTAAACTATCGAGACGCGAGATCAAGCAAAGCGCATTACACCAGCAGAGTTTCTTTATCGCGCCAAAGAGAGGCGTTTAAATTTGCATTATGTGATCACTCGTTCAAGTTGGTCAAATTTCTTTTTTTCAGGTAGTAATTCAACTGAGCTTTCAGACGAAACGCAAAAAATGAAAAAAGTACGCATTCCTCCAGGTATGGCGATACTCCTGTATTCTAATCTCTGATTGTTTTTGTTTTTTTTTTCGCCTGAATATGTTAATCTAATGTTAAGTTTCTGATTACCCTTCACATTCAACGTTTCCTTTTGTTTTCATCTCACGACTCAAAGATAAAATTTTCTCAGTTTGACATTTCCCTTACAGTTTTTCTCGACAAAAGCGCAAGTCGGAAACTTGAACTACGTTCATACCAACAAGAACTTTCAATCCCTGCGTTGAAAGGGAACAACTGCATCATTTGCGCGCCAACAAACAGTGGAAAGACTTA